AGAGAGGTACCCACATGGTTCAGGGGCCCCCACTAAGCTAACCCACCAGGGTAGATAGGAGAGGAACTGAGTCTCACAATAGGCAGACCAAACTCGCTGTTGTCCCTGGAAGGTAAGCTCGTGTGGTCAAGAACTGAGAACTAGCCGGGGCAGTGGTGGGTGGTCCTTTAATCCCAGCACTCGGGAAGCAGATGCAGGTGGATCTCTGTGAAGAGTTCGAGTAGGTCTACAGAGAGAGCTCCAGGACAGCCGGATAGCCTCCAAAGCCATAGAGAAAGCATGTCTCAAAAAACAAAAAACTGGTGAAGAAAGCGGGTATGAATTTGTTCCCTGGGGGCTGCAAAGGTACTGGCTTTAGACTTCTTAAATTGTGTTCAGTACAAAAGAGCAAGGGAGGCCTTGGGTTCCGTATCGTGTGTATGATGCACAGGCCTAGGTCTTTGTGTTTGTCTGTTAAATGGGGAGATGCATGTGAAGAGCCCGTACTGGGCAGGCTTGTAGTCTGTTCTCATTGGGGAGCGGGAATGGCTAGCTCCAGGCCTCCGGTTCCTTTTCAAGGGGAGTCTGGCGCCTGAACGGGAAGCAAGAGTCCTGCCCAAGAAGGAGGAGACCACACCTGAGGCTGTTCCTCAACTCTCCCTTTGTCTCCCTTCCCCGGTGGACTAACACACACCTAGCAACCAGAGGTGGGGCTATCTTATCGCCTGGCCGCCAGGTACATACAGCACAGGGTGTCCAGACCACAGTGCTGCTCTGGGGAAATGCCTTTAACTAGGCTGGGAGTGGTCTGGCCTTTGTCCTCTGTGAGGCATGTGACAGTTTGTGGAAAACATAATCTGGTATAAACCAGCGCGGACCCATCACCTGGGGATTAGCCTTGGCTTTTCTGTCTTCAACCACAAAGGCAAGGTGTTTCCTACCTTGTCAGTACCGTCTAGGGAGAGTCCAGCAGGCCGACTGGACTGGAAAGTAGAAGGTGGTAAATAAGGGCATGCACATAGTGAGTCTACATACTGAGTTCCAGAGAGACTACAGCCTCTGGCTGTAGACACTGGTGTGGATTCACATCTCAGCTTTGCTCTGAAGTCAGCAAGTTCCAGGCCCAGCAGAGCTCCATAGGAAGACCGCATCTAAGAAGAAAAAAGTGGGCAGTATTAGAGGAAGACAGGCAGGCAGGAAATGAGGGAGGGAAGAAGAGGTGCAGGTGAAATGAACTTCCAGAGGCACCCAACCTTGATCTTGCCCGTTGTTACTGTGAAGGACCTTGGCTCATTAGGGATCTGGCACCCTCCTATTCTCTCTTCCCCATGGCTCTGTTGGAGCTGTTTCAGTCTAGGGCGTAAGCCGTAGGGAGAAGGAAGAACCTGGATTGCTGGCCTGGGCTTCCAACCCCAGCACTTGGATGTTCAGTTTTACCTGCCCAGTGAGTTCAAACCAGCCTGGGCTACATGAAGAAGACTCTGTCTCAAAAAAACCAAGTCAAGCCAGGTGGTGGTGGTGGTGGTGGTGGCGCACACCTTTAAAAGCAGCATTCCAGAGGGAGACAGAGGCCGATCTCTGTGAGCTCCAGGCCAGCCTGTTCTACAGAGTGAGTTCCAGGACAGGCTCCAACATCCAAAGCTATAGAGAAACTCTGTTTTGAAACAGCAAACAAACAAAACAGATAATGTTGGGACTACAGGCTCTCTACCTTTCTCTATCATTACCTAAAACAGTTGGTACCCTTTGACCCTCAGGGTCCACTCACCCCTAGCTTCCCCAGTGGATAGCTCAGAGCCTATGAAAACGCTTGCTTAGAAGAGCTTGAGCCCCACCGAAGTGGTAACGGGTAGTAAAGGAGATATCAGGCTGTGGCATCACTTGTTAATGTGTGATGCTGGTCAGAATCCTTTCCTCCCATGTTCCTCAGCAGCCTCACCTGGGAAATGGATCCCTAGTGGTCCCCAGATGAAAACAAGAGGTGCCCAGCTCCCGGGAAATGCTTAGCACAGAGCTACTGTGAGCCAGCAACCCTGAGCCTGCTTTGGGGCTCGCTCACAATAATCTTGTTATACATGCAGGACACATGGAAATACAGAGGCAGATTGTTTCTCTTTCTCAGTTGCTGCTCTGTGGCCTTGCCGTTGATGCAACCAGGACTGTGTTCTCTCCGAGGCTACCACTGGGCTTCGTTTGTTGTTAATGGGCTTGCTTTTATTGCAGTCTTTCACTGGCCTTGTATTGTCCTCTCAGATTAAGATAATAACACCTTCAGTTAATAATACCTTGCACTTGATTTGCTTTCATCTTGAGCTCAAAGTCCTCTGCAAACATGACCTCATTCGTTTTTTCCTGGTCCAGGGAGCCGGCACTCCTGCTCCCAGCCATTCATCCTCAGCCAGATTCCCAGAAGCGTGAGTGTGTACTGATGGGTCCCTTCCTCCTGTCAAGACCTCAACCACAGGCACAGCTTTGCAGCTCTTCTGCCTCCTCCTGGGATGACCTTTGCCCACAGACGATCTCCTGAGCCCCAGCCCCTCTGGCTTAGGAGACTAACCTACTATGCCCATCCCAGTTACCCACAACCGTGTCCTGAACAGGGAAAACATTAGATAATCCTTACAGATGAGTTGCCTTGATGTCCAGGAAATAACAGATTTGGCAGCTTCCAGCTTTTATCTTCCTTGAGAGCTGGATTTGAATTCTCTACATAGCCCAGGCTAGCTCTGACTCCTGATCCTTCTGCCTCAGCCTCCCAAAGGCCGGGATTACAGGCCTTCACACACCACTATGGTGGGCGTGAGAACTTTTTAATTAAGACCTGGAGGCTATAGGCACGTTCTCTTAACCCAAGCTAGACCTTGCTACTCACCACCCTGGCACGTTTGACACCTGTGTGTGCTTGTGAGAGCCTGGAGCTCACAATGACCATGCTTCCTTGTTCAGGGGCGGCTCTTGGCAGTGAGGGCTGCTGGCTGCTTCCTTCTATTTTCATCTTGCAATTACCTGGGAGAACACAGCTGGAAGCTGTACAGGTGCTGCCTAGCCTGTGTACCGACATCTTTGCATGCAACCAAACAGCGCTAAAAAAAAAAAAAAATTCAGACAGAAAACTGTGTCTGTACAGACTTTTTTGAATATGCACACACTTTCCTTCTTATTTTTTTTTTTGAGCAACACAATACAACTATTTTAGTTTACATTCTGTTAGTTATTATAGAGTATTTTAGAAAGTATTTAAAATATATGGGAGGCTGTGTAGGGAACATGTCAAATGTTATGCTATGCTATCCTATGCTATATAAAAGGAGTTGAGTGTCCACAGACTTCGGTAGCTCTAGGGGACCCTGCCATGGATGTGGAGGGATGAACTATACTTGGCTTCCCAACTACACACGTGGCCTCGGCCTATGGGAATTCTGGGTGTCCAAGAATAATTACAGTACTCCTACCCCCTTGAAACAAACAAACAGGAAGGCAAACGAGATGACTCATCTACTGCACAAAGAAGTTATATTGTCTTCTTCTGGTCCCAGGGAGATAGCCGGGCTTCCTGCATGCTAGGCAAGCTCTGTACCAACCAGCCTCACACCTACTGTGTCTTCATCAGTATGTAAACATTGGCTGTAGTATGTAAAAATTATGTATGTAAACATCAGTATGTAAACATTATGTAGATTCTTTTCAAAAATGGTCAAGTCCTTTAGATGGAAGATTGATTCCGTTTACATAGAATAAAAATAGGCCAACAGAAAAGGCACGTGCCATCAAGCCTGTTGGCCTGAGTCTGATTTTGGAGACCATGGAAAGAGAGACCCGCTGCCCATGCAGCTGACTCTCACGGGTAAGTAAATAGAAACAGGGCCTGTTTTCTTCTTCTTGTCCTTCTGTTCTGCACAGCCCTAACTAGTCAAAATGTACTCTCTAGTTCTGAAGAGAAAGTGTCTTTCTGAACCAAAAGCCCTAAGAGTAAGATCCACTCCCCCGAGATCAGGGAGGGAACCGTTCCAGGCCCTCTCCCCACAGTAGAGAACCATGGATGTGTGAGGGTTTTACTTTACAATGTGCAATATTTACCTTATAAGCCGAGTTCATCATCTCATGTACCCTAAGTCATCTTTAGGCTACTGTAACAAAACAACATAAACTCTATATGAATGTATGTATCGATTCACCATTGATCAAGCAATGGTGAATGACAAGGGGGGGGGGGGGAAATCGTCCTGCCCAAACCTGACACTAACCAGCTCCTTTCTTTCTTTCTTTGGGTGTGTGTGTGTGTGTGTGTGTTCGAGTGCACAGACTTTCTCTACGTAGTCCTGGCTGTCCTTGAACTCACTATGTAGGCAAGGCTGGTCTCCAACTCAAGACAGAGATGCTCCCCCACCCCCCAAGTGCTGAAATTAAAAGCTTACATTACCGCGCCCTTTCGTTGGTAGTGTTTTTTGTTTTGTTTTGTTTTTTGAATCTAGGACCTCACGCTGTGTTTCAGATTTCGTGTTTTTTTTTTTTTTTAAGTGAGACTGTTTAGAAGCTATTTAAAATTTAAATACTCTTGGGAGTCGAGTAGCTGCAAAGGTTCTCTGTGTGTTTTCTATTTTGATCATTCTGTTTCTCGAGATGACCACATCTTTCAGAGGAAATGAGTCAAAGCCACTCGGTCTCGCTTTTCCAGCTGAGCATGTTCCGTTTCAATGAAGTAATGAATGAACTTGGCCAGCACCACCCCCACGCCTACAACCGCAAACACAGGGCAAGCTCCGCCAATCAGCGCGCACTCAAGGTCTTCGAGTTGAGTTCAAACCGGCCTACGGTAGGCCAATCAGCGCTCCAGGCCCCGCCCCCCGACATCGGTCCCAGCCAATCCCCGAGCAGGAGGAGCCAAAACACGGAGGCCGGCCAATGCCGGGGCGCCCCCGCGGCGCCGGCTCCGCCAATGGGCGCGGCCGCTGGAGAAGAGAAACAGAGCGGCCGGGCCCGCCGCAGGATTCGAATCGAACGTCCGTGTGGGAGCCGGCGGCCGGTCGGGCGGCGCGTGGGCCAATCAGCGGCGGCGGCTCGCGGCCCCCGAACGTTGGGCCCGGCGGCCCCGCCCCGCGCTGTTGTTTGCGGCGTCGGCGCGGCCGCGCGAGCCGGACCACAACACTCGGCGGCGGCGGCGGCGGAGCTGCGAGCGCGAGCCCGAGCCCGGGGCGGCCGCCCAGCGCCATGTCGGTGAACACGGACGAGCTGCGGCACCAGGTCATGATCAACCAGTTCGTGCTGGCCGCGGGCTGCGCGGCCGACCAGGCGCAGCAGCTGCTGCAGGCGGCGCACTGGCAGTTCGAGGTGCGCGTGGGGGCCCGGGCCTCGGGAGGTGGGCGCGCGGGGCCCGGGGTGCGGGGCGCGCGGGGGCCGCGGCGGGGAGGCCCGGAGCCCGGAGGCCTCGCTCACGCCGGCCGCGTCCCACGTTTGTCCGCAGACCGCCCTGAGCACGTTCTTCCAGGAAAGCAACATTCCCAACAGCCACCACCACCCTCAGATGGTAAGTGCCCCTCGGGGCCGCCCGGGGCGGCAGCTCGCTCGCTCGCTCGCTGTCAGCGCGCCGGTGACAGCCATGTTGCCGGGGAGCGGCGCGCCGCGAATGTAAACAAAGAGCCAAAATGTCTTCCAGGAAAGAGCGCTCCCAGGCCGGCGCTGGCTCGCCCAACTTTGGGACCCGCCTCCAGGCTCCTGGATCTGGGCCGGAGGCCCTGCGCCGGGCGCTGTGCCCTGGGCCTAGGGGCCGGGGTGTTGCGGAGGTGGGGGTGGGGGTGGAGGGCAAACGGCCCCCAGTACCAGCGGGGACTTGGGAGTCTGGTGGCAGAGGATGGAGAAGGGACTCGATGATAAGCAGACCTCAGGGGAGGCCAGGGGAAGGGGGCGGAAGCGGGGGCTTGGGGTTGACGCAGACACACACACACACACAAACACACACACGGGATTTGTGGCTTGGTGCAGCTCTCAGACACACACACACAAACACACACCCACCCCCAGTGCTGCAGGAAGGCAAAGATCCACCCTGGCTCCGGAAGCCCAGCTCTGTCTACAAAGCTTGGGTGTGTGTGTGTGGGGGGGGGGTGAACGCATACCCTGTGTGGAGGATATACAGGTTTATATACCCAGTAGAAGGTAAAGACTTTCATCTAATCTCAGTATGTGAAGAAACAGACAGTTCAGGAAAACAAGTGCCTCGAACCTGGGTTTGTCTCCCAACTTAGCTGCAGGCCAAAGCCTTTGCCCTCCTGGTCAGGTTCCTTGAGGCCCAGGACATCCCCTCTCCACTTCAATCCCTGGTTATCTATTAGCTCTGACCATGTAGGAGGGCCTGAGCCCAGTGGAGGATTGGTAAAACATTATTCCTGAGAAGAGTTGCTGTTGGACATTTTTGGCATTTCTTTAGTTGAGCGTCCTTGTCCCTGGCTCTCCCCAGAAGGCACCTGCACATGGTGGCTGGCTCCTCTGCTGGCTCGTTCTTGGCACTGTTTTCTTCCAGACAGGGAGGCCTGGGGAGTCAGAGTCGTCTGCCTCCATTTAAACTAACTTCCTTTTTGCATTTTGGAGTAAGCTGGAAAAGTGAATGGTGCTGAGGCCAGGCTCTTAGGAAAGGAATCACTTCCAAGACCCATCCCCTGCGTCCATCCGTACACACTTCTAGATTCCTGGACCTGGAAATACTTTCTCCATCCCTAACTCAGTTCTTCCTTCCCACAAGACAACTCAGAAAAACACAGTCTATGTTTAGGCCTCAGCGTGAATTGGAGTCCTGTTTGATCCCTTCCCCCCTCCCCCACCCCTGCAAAAGTGTGTGTGTGTGTGTGTGTGTGTGTGTGTGTGTGTGTGTGTGAGAGAGAGAGAGAGAGAGAGAAAGAGAGAGAGTCTGAATGTGAGTTTGTGTGTGCATGTGTCTGTGAGTGTGTGCGTGTTCCCCTTTGGAAACTTCCCTGAGGAGATGGCTGGTTTTGCGCTGTAATCACTGCATCCGTTGGGGACTTGCTGGCTGCTTCACCAGCACAGTGTAACAGCCCTGTTCTGGGGGGTCAGTGCTGTTTTTGAGACAAAATAATTAGAAAACTTAAAAACATTGGAACCCAGCACTTGGGGGTTGAGGCAGGAGGATTGTTGTGAACTCCAGGTCAGCCTGGTCTATCTAGGAAGATCCTTTCTCTGAAGACTTTACCATAACTGGTAAAGGCTTTTGCTTATTGCCAGCCACAGTTGGAGGAAGCATCACAAATGATAAGGGTCCCCTGTTGTGTGTGGGGGGGGGGGCACGAAGGGCAGTTGTTGAGAGGAAGCCGGACGACTGGGCCATTCCAGGGACACAATTACTTGAAGAGATTTCAGGAAGGGCTCTAGAAAATGTAGTTCAAGCCCCTGCTTTCACGAGAGCAGAGAGTTTACTCAGGCAGATAGGTACAGGTCCTGCCAACCTTCCAGATGTTTGTGAGAGGTCAACTCTTAAGAGACCTGGCCTCTGGCTCGGAAGACTGGGGAAGTCAGTCACGATGCTGTGATGCAACTGGTCTCTGTAGGCCACAACCCCCCATTCATTGTTTCCTGCTGCACAGAAGTCATGGGGGTGGGCAAGGAATCATGGTGGGAGGAGAGGCGTGTCTGGGTGGGGCTAGACCTGGCTGAGGCCTTTGGCCCTTGAGCAGACAATGGTCCAGGTCCCCTAGGATCTGATCTGGCACGGCCCCACTGGACAGGGTGAGGTGGGGTCCCTGCCTCAGTTTCTGGCTTTGCTTTAACTAGAGTGATTAAATTCTAGCACCCTGTTGTGTGTCTCCCCACCCCCAGTGCCCTGCGCCTTGGGGAGGAGCCAGTGTTGCTAAAATTGGGAGAAACTGAAAGGACTCGCTGGCCTCCTGAGAAAGGAAGAAGAGGCTTTGAGGTCACAGTCAGCTCATGTAGGCCCTGGGCTCTGACCCACCTGCTCCCAGTCCATGGGCTGGGCAGGGGTACTTCTTACCCCAGGAGTGTGCTGCTGGCATCTGGGGCTGGCATGGCTGACTGCCCAGAGCTGAGTGTCACTTAATCCTGAATGGAGAGTGAGGCTGGACACAGGCTTCAGCGCCTGGGCCCACAGGCTGGGACCCTGTAGACTCTAATGCCACGGTTTGCACCTGCTTTGGATACATGTTCTGTCGTGACCTAACCCTTGGGTCTCAGTTTCCTCGTTTGTGATATGGAAGAATTGAGCTAACCAGATTGAGTGGAGGGGGCCAGGGTCCAAGACCTGTTGGCTAAACTTGGGGAATGGAAGCCCCAAGAAAGTGCAGCTTTTCTGTGGCTGGTCCCGGGTAGAGACCCTCCACCCAGCCTGCTCCATGGCGCCTAACTAACCCCTGGGGACATCTGAGGGTGGATTGTGGAGGAAGCCAGCTGGCTCCCCTAGCCGGGAAAGGAGCTGGGCATTGGTGTCCTGGGCTGCTCCTTGTCCTTTCAAGATGACACCTTAGCTTTGAGTCGGAATTAACCATCGGCATCTCTTGGCCCTTGGTCTCGTTCCTGAGCACTGAGCAGTGCCTTTGGACTTTGCTCTTTGCTCTGGGGGAGATGGGTGGTCTGTTGAAGTTGCTTGTGGGCTAGAGGTGCCAGGGCCCTCACCCACACCTTTCCCCCACAGATGTGTACTCACCCACACCTTTCTCCCCCACAGATGTGTACTCCCAGCAACACCCCTGCGACTCCGCCCAACTTCCCTGACGCTCTAGCCATGTTCTCCAAGCTTCGAGCCTCTGAGGGTCTGCAGAACAGCAACAGCCCCATGACAGCCGTGGCCTGCTCCCCCCCTGCAAACTTCAGCCCCTTCTGGGCCGCATCTCCGCCCAGCCACCAGACGTCCTGGATCCCACCCTCTTCCCCCAACTCCTTCCATCATCTCCACTGCCCACAGCCCACGTGGCCCCCTGGAGCATCGCAGGGGGGCGCCCAGCAGAAAGCCATGGCAGCAGTGGATGGCCAGAGATGAGACTGGATGGCACTGGGCTGGATGGGGGCAGTCCAGGGTTGGGGACACAGCAGGGCTGGGGAGGGGGGAGCCACAAGAGGGTGGGGGGTTTCTTGAAGATCGCACTGGAAGATTTTATAAGAGAATTTTTGTGGGTGGGGGGGATAGTAATTGTCCTGAGCCACTTGGGTTCTTCAGGAGTTTCTCTTTGGGAAAGTTTTTCCTCTTTAATATATAACTGTAATATATATGAATATAAATTTAACGTGTGTGAGTGGGCCCGTACGCCAGGGGTGTTGGCATCGGAAGGGAATGGCCTCAACAATCCCTTTCCTTGACGGCACCTCCTCTGCCCAGTTTGGGGAAACAAAGGGTGCTTGTGGTCATAGCAGCAGGTGTCTGCTCCCTCCTTTAGAAGTCACATCCGCCATTAGGAAGTACGCCCCCCCACACCCCGAGGGAAGTCCCAGAGGGCTCTGTTGGGGCCCTGAACTTTCCTATCATCACTGGTGACTGGAGTCTTCTTCTCTGCTGGTGGTGGCCATGAAACTTGTCGCCCTGTCCCCAGCTGGGTGTACAAAGCTGGTAGGACTGAGAAGTTGGCTGACCCCTGAGTGGATACTTGGCTGCCCCACAGGTCCCCAGCCTCTCTGTGTCCGGTATCAGAGGACGACAACTCGGGAGAGCCTGCCTTTTGATTTGAGTTCCTACATTAAAATCACATCACACCAGGGTGCAATTTTAATTTAAAAACGTTAAAAGACTTTTCTAACTAACTTTCGTGGTGCTTTTGTCTGCTTCCGTGGGAAAGGGCGTGGGGGCTCTCCCTTGGTAGGAGTGGCGGCGTCATTTGACTGCTGCTGTGTTTATTTCCTTATGAGGATACATGGTCCGGGTGTTAGGGAGTACAGGCAGGGGCAGGTCCTTCCCGATCTCTGCCATGGGCTGTGCGAGATCGGGTTTTACAGTGGCTGTTGCCTTCAGGCCTATCTCTGTTTCTGCCCTCCTGAGCAGATTTCGCAGGTGCCAGTTGAACACCTGAATGTGCCAGCCTAGGTTGCCCAGTGCCACAAAGACTGTTCTGAGGGGCTGGGGTGGTGTCTGCGGGGCACCTCTTCTCATCCTCCAGCAGGGTGCTACTAGGTTCCCGGGCCTGCTCCTGGCTGTAGGAGCCTCGTGCAGGAGGAGTTGCTCCTGTCGCCCTTCCTGACAGCTAGCTCTGTGGATCTAACCCTGCTGCCTCTTCTGAGAGGTCCAGGGTTAGGGCCCAGGTGAAGTGATGCTTACAAGGCCCCAGGCGGGCAGCCCCCCACTTCCATCTTCAGACGCCCCCACACCGCCTGGTGGAGCAGAGCAGTGCGCCTAGCTACGCTACTGCCTGTGACACATGGTTGGCCTTGGAAGCCGGGTGTGCGCTTTCAGTTTTGATTCCTGGTTGGTACCCATGGGTGGCCTCCCAGACCTGCCCACCTGTGCTTTCCCAGGCCGGAAGGGGAAGTCCCTGGCTGGCAGGCATGTGGGTGGCCAGGCAGGGGCTGCTGGGGATGCCCTAGGGGACTCAGTGACCAGGCCACTCTAACATCTCGTCTCAAGCATGGTCACGAAGACTCAGAGAAGGCAGGGACCATTCCCTCCCAGGGCACCCTCCACCTCACGACACCCTAGCCAAGCTGGCAATACCTACCAGCAGTGAGAAGCCCATTGCTTGGCCATTTCCTACCACACTTCCTGTGTGATTTTTGTCTCCCCCCCCCCCCCGTCGCACCTCAAAGTGAACATCTTGCCCCAGATGATTTCCCATGTGAGAGGGAGTGATGGGAACAGGTGTGGGGTCCCATCTTACACTCCCACACCTCATCCTGAGGTGGGAGTAGAAACGCTTTCTTTTTAGACAAGTTCTTGCCATGTAACCCTTATTGGCCTCGAGCTCTGCGCCCTCCTGCCTCAGGTCTCTTTGAAAGGTTGCTGGGTGTGCACCCTTTGACGACGCACCGTTTCTTGTTTGTGGGCCCCTAGGGTCTGTCTGGAGGCCTCGGCTTATGGCTGAGCTGGGTGGGGCCGACAACTCTGGCCCTGAGCCTAAAAGCCCCTCCATAGCGGTGACCACAGGTGGTGGAGAGCAACCGCACTGAAGCACTGAGTGAGTGCATTGGGAGCAGTTGAGTCTCACCCCCTGCTCTCCAGGCAGCCAAGCACTGAGCCCCTCAACCAGGGCTGGCTTTCAAGCAACCATCTGCAGCAACTCATCCAAGAGGACTGCAGAGCTTAGGTGGGGACCTGCCCAGCAGTGTGGGTTTATCCTGGCTGGAAGCTACCCTGAGCCATCAGCCAGGGAGCAGGCGACAGCTGTAACCCTCACCTCTAAGCGGAACTGGTGTACAAATACCATGGGTCCCAGCCTGCTCAGAACGCTGGGGCCGGTCCTGCATGCTGGAAGACAAAGTTAGCACTGTCAGATGAGCACTGATATGGGACAGGTCCAGCCTGTTCCCAGGTTCCCAGAAACAGGTCTGGAGTCTTGCACCAGCTACCCTCCCTGCCCTGGGTGCAACATTCTGCTCTGTCCTCCCTGAGCTCCTGCATCCTTAGAACGGCTCAGTGGGGCTTGAGTTTAGCCCTCCAGCCATAAACTGGACCCACTGTCCAGGAACGGCCCAACCCTTCTGATGTAGGGGAACCCGGAAAACGCAGGGCCGCTTGGCCAGTAGTAAGTAGGTAGCTGCCTCCTGCACACTCTGCCTTCTTGAAGCAGGACAGCAGGGGGGTCTCCTGGCACCCAAACTCCAAAGTCCTGTTTTGAAACTTTTATTTATACTTGTGTTTAGTGAGCAGTGGTGGATCTAGGTCCCCGGGTGGGCTCCTCCATCCCCTCCCGAGGAGATACGTCCATATGTACATTCAGCCCAGACGGGCCGCCCTGCAGATTGTTCATCTCTGTGGAGCCGGACGAATGGGCCACATTGGGCTGGGAGAAACGCCCCTCAGAGGAGACAGGTCTGTCTTTCTTTTGTCCTGAAGGAACTGCAGGACAGGAGGGGCTCAGCTTGCTCTGCCTGGTCCCCCATGCCCACCAGGGTCCACTCTAGCTTATCCAAGGCCTAAGCAAGCTGGGACCCTCATTAGCCAGGCTAGGCTGAGCCCACAGTGCAAGCATTCATGGGCATTCCTGGGAAATGCTTTAGGGCCTTCCCCCTGAAAGCCCTGCCTCTTTGGTGGCCCCTCCGTTCTCTTAGAGGCAGTTTGGGCAACACACAGAACCAGCAATTTTTCCACACCACTCTAACTTCTACATGGTTTTTCTGAGTAGGAAGTGGAAGTAGGAAGTGGAATGCCTGCGATCCCGAAGCCTCGGACCCAGGAGAAAGCCACAGAAGCATGCTCTTGTGACCCTTGAATTCCACCTTGGCCACTTCCTGTCCCTCCCCTCCCTGCCGCTTTCCCGAGTGCTTCCTGGGGCTAATGTTGGTCTCTGCCTTCTAGTGTAGGTGTGTCAATTAAAACTGGTTCATGGACCAAAAAACCCACTTAAACACCACGGCCGCCATGCCTACCTTATTTCCTTCCCCTCTGTGCTACAGGCTCTCATGGTTGCAGGGATTGAAGCATGTTACAGAGCTCAGAAGTTTTAACTGGGGTGCAGGCCAGTGTATGAGTGTGGAGATCCTGGGGTCTCCTGCCAGCATTCACAAAACACTGTGTGTGTGTGAGTGTGTGTGTGATTCTGTGAGTGTGTGTATGTGAAAGTGTGTGAATCTGTGAGTGTGTGTGAGTGTGTGTGAATATGTGAGTGTGAGACTGTGTGTGTGAGTGTGTGATTCTGTGAGTGTGTGTGATTCTGTGTGTGTGTGTATGTGAAAGTGTGTGAGTCTGTGAGTGTGACTGTATGTGAGTGTGTGTGAGTATGTGAGTGTGACTGTATGTGAGTGTGTGTGAATATGTGAGCGTGAGACTGTGTGTGAGTGTGTGTATTATGAGTGTGAGTGTGAATGTGTGTGAGTGTGTATGTGAGTGTGTGAGTGTGACTGTATGTGAGTGTGTGTGAGTATGTGAGTGTGACTGTATGTGTGTGTGAATATGTGAGCGTGAGACTGTGTGAGTGTGTGTATTATGAGTGTGAGTGTGAATGTGTGTGAGTGTGTGTGTGAGTGTGTGAGTGCAGGAACACATGCATGCATGTGCGCTGCTAGCAAGCCTCCCTGCCTCTCAGGAGTGCTGGTCTTGTGTGATGGGAAGATTGGCTTAGGCACCTGGTAGTGCAGGGCCATAGGCCTTGTGTGGTGGAACCCAGGGGTTTCCAGCCCCTTGGCCTTCATCTGCTGCTCTAGCTTCTCAGGGGAGACCAGGAACTCTAGGGGCTTTCCAGGCCAGAGGACACCTACAGGCTAGGGTCAGAGGAGCAGGGTGGGGGTGGGGGTGATGTCCTGGGCCACAGCCTGGCTCTTAGAGCGTTTGTGTGTTTGAGCGGGGACACCTTAGACCTGGAGTCAGAGCTGAGTGCATCTCTGTCCTGACGTCCTTTTTTGTGGCATAGGACAGCAAGTGTCCACCTCATAGACCTGGCCCATGCCAAACATTCAGCAACTGGGTTTTCCCATTCTCCCTCCCACCTCATCCTTTCGCTCTCTGACCCTTGCTCTCTCCAGCCGGGGCTGGAAGAGAGGGCTGCCTGGGAGGAAGGGAAGGCCTGGAGCTAGTATTCTGGCTGCTAGAAGGGAGCTACCTGGATTGTTGTCTGTCAACATCTGTGCACTCTGAGGCCGAGAGGGCGGGCCGTTGTTGCCCAGGGATGGCTGCCTGTGCAAGTGTGGCCGGGCATGCTGGGCCTGCTGCAACTGTTGCAGTTGCTGCAGCTGCTGGAGCTGTTGTAACTGCTGGAGCTGCTGCAGCTGTCTGGACTTGGGCTTTGTCATTCCTGGGGCTGAGAAGGCAGGAGGAGGGTCAGCACCAAGTGAGAGCTGTGGGCCAGGACGAGCCAGCTGGGGTGGGACCCTTCAGAGGCTAAAGTTGTGGCTACGCCCCTTAGCAACCCTTGGTTCATCCACACATCTGCCCGCCTGGCAGTCTGTCCATCCATGCGGCCCACCCACCTGGGTTCTCTGAGGACTTCAAACATCAGCCTTGTGTCGGGACTGAGTGATTTCTGGCCCAGGGTTGTGGTTCAGAAAGGAGCCAACGGGGGAAGGCTCAAGGCATGATGAGAAGTGGCCCTCAGGAGCCTTGGTGTTGGAATCAGATAATGGCCCATTGCTGGGTTGAAAAGTCAGTTAGGGCTTGGCCGCATTGATACAGGAAGCTGAGGTGGAGAGCTGTGCTATGGTGTGTGAGGGTGAAGGCCAGCAAGGAAGGACAGAGCCACTGCTGCGCCATTGGCTGCCTCTAGCTACCACTCTCCAGCCAAAAACAGCCACCTGGTGTTGGGGAGGAGAAAGAAAGTGCTTGGGGCCCAGTGACAACTGTCCTTTGGAATCCAAACAAGAACCCTGAAGGAGCTCAAAGCTGTCTGGACAACTCACCATCTTTCCCTAGGATGCCTGGCAACCTTGTATCCATCCGTCCCTTGTAGATGTGTCCATCGAGACCCAAGATATCAACCTCATCGTGCTATGGGGGATATGTGTGTCCATTATCATGGTAACATCCAGTGTCCTCCAGGGAGGATGGGGCGCAATGCCGGGAACCCTCCCTGGGAACCTAGGCCTGGGCACTTGCCTGTAATGCAGGCTTTGGGGAGACTGAGACAGCTTCCCCACTACTGACTTCAAGGCCAGTCTGGGAGTTAGAGCTAGTGCCAGCCCAGCCAGGAGGGTATAAAAAGCTAGAGCCCTGTGCCGAGTCTGGGCCGAGTGCAAGTTAGAGGGAGGTTGGAGCGGTGTCCTGACGTCTGCCTGTCGTGGGCAGCCGTAGTGCAGTGTCTGGGAGACGGGTGGAAGGGTGGCAGCCGGCTCAGCAGAGAGCGGGGGCTTCAACTCGGGAAGAACTGTACACCCTAGCTACTTTGGGAAGCTGAGGCAGAAGGACCGCGGAGTTCAAGGCCTGCCTCAAAAACGGAACAGAGGCTGGGAGACGGCTGGCCTAGCAACCCGCAAGTCAGCAAGGAAGGCGGAGGGCCAAGTGGTTTTCCCTCCCCATGGTCCCCATCAGACCTTCATGGCAATCTGGATCTCCTCCAGTGGGGACAGGTGCTGCGGGCGGTTTCGGCGGTAAGGGTAGGTGAGGGTGTGGCTGCCCCCACAGCGCCTGGGCACAGTTGAGTAGGTATAATCTGCTGTATCAAGTCCCCTGGGATGTAGAGACAGGGAGCCACTTTGAGTCACCCCCAGTGCTACCTGAGACAGGCAGGTGAGTAAACATGGGGCCATACAAACGCACCTACCTCTCTTACACACTCTCTCACACACTCACACACTCGCTTACACACTCACACACTCTCTCACACACTCACACACTCTCTTACACACTCACACACTCTCTTAACTCTCTTACACACCCTTACACACTCACACTCTCTTACACACACCCTTACACACTCTCTTACACACTCTCACACTCACATACTCTCTCACACACTCACACACTCTCACACACTCTCTTACACACTCACAACTCCCTTACACACCCTTACACACTCACACTCTCTTACACACTCCCTCACACACCCTTACACACTCTCTTATAACTCTCTTACACACTCTCTTACAACCACACTCTCTCTTACTCTCACACTCTCTTACACACTCACACACTCTCTTACACACTCCCTTACACACCCATACACACTCACACACTCTCTCACACACTCACACACTCCCTTACACACTCTCTTATAACTCTTACGCACTCTCTTACAACCACACTCTCTTACTCTCACACTCTCTTACACACTCTCTCTTACTCTCTCACACACTCTCACACACTCCCTTACACACCCTTACACACTCTCTTATAACTCTCTTAACACTTTCTCACGCTCTCACCCTTCACCCCACCCCACCCCCGCCCCACCTACCCTGAGTGACCAAAGCCAAGCTTGGTCATCGGGGACCTGTGTACCCCTAGACTCCTGCCCTCCTACCGTTTGTAGCACGGGTGGCTGAGGCATTGGGAGTGTAGCAGCTCTCGGATCATCTGGCTGCTGGCCTTCACAGAGCCTCCGAAGTGGATCTGCACCTTCTCGATGTCCATCAGCATCTTGGAGTACATGCTGCGGAGGCGTCCTACGCTCCTCTCCATCTGCGACAGGTCACCCCGGGAGAAGCTGCCGCCCAGCTTCAGGCTGTGGGACCGGGGCAGAGGAGAAGAGGTCAACCCAAGGCCAGACAGACCACTTTTCTCCTGGACCTCCTGTTCATACTCGCTTTGGCTCCAGGAGTCTGTTCTGCAGGACTCTGTGTGAACTGGGCTAGAGGCCCACGCCATGGGCCCTTGACTGAGGGCTGAGGGTCACTGGGCAGCTTAGCAGCTCTCAGAGACTGGGAGGGACCAGACTTGCTGGGGAAGGTTTTCCCTACACTCAAAAGCCCTCTTTCCCCACAAAACAAATACTTAAAATGTAACAAAAAATTTAAATACAAAACAAGAAAGTCAATCTAGTGGTCCGGGTCCTGATCCTGGGCAGAGACCCTCAGCCTCCCAGGGTGCCCTCTGGAGCCATCACAGTGCCCTCTCCCACCCCACCCCACCCCACCCCTGCCCAGTAACCCACTGTCTCCTACTTGCGGCTCTGCTGCCGGACCTGCTCTAGCTCAAACACGGTATAAGGCCGGATGGACCGGTGCCCCGGCATGCTGGGAACTATAGGGGTCATAGAGAGGACTCTGGACAGGGACAGAAGGAGGGGAGGGGAGGGGAGGGCGTGAGAAATGTCACCACCAGTCAGCGACACCAGGCACCCACTGACATGTTCTATGCAGGTCATTCCTAACAGCTCAGGGCGGGCCCCTAGGAAGGACCAGGGACAGAAGGGGACCCAGGACAAGAGGCAGGATGGATGGGGACAGGGAGACAAACACCCCGACCCGGCTGCGCTGCCTTCTCCCTCCCACGGATGCTGTGGGTGAGGTGTGGGCACTCACTGTCCAGTCACAGATGTCTCCAAGGGACGGTCACAGGACAGGCAGTGGAAGTGAGCCAGGAGCTGCCTGTCAGGGACAGGGTGTAGTATAGCGGGTGAGATCCAGAGAGTCTGCGCACACGCCCCCGCCCTCCCCCTCCCCCGCCCCTCCCCGCCCTCCCCCTCCCCTTCCCCTCCCCTCCCCCGCCCCTGCTCCTCCCCCTCCCCCGCTCCCTCCCCCTCCCCGGCCCCGCCCCCTCCCCTGCCTCTGCTCCCTCCCCCGCCCCCTCCCCGCCCCCGCCCCTCCCCCGCCCCTGCCCCTCCCCGCCCCTCCCCCGCCCCTCCCCCGCCCCTGCTCCTCCCCCTCCCCCGCTCCCTCCCCCTCCCCGGCCCCGCCCCCTCCCCTGCCTCTGCTCCCTCCCCCGCCCCCGCCCCGCCCCCGCCCCGCCCCGCTCCCTCCCCCTCCCCCGCCACAGGATTGGCCTCCTGGACATTCCACCTGCTCTTTCTCAACCATCCCTTCCAGGCTCACATCCTGGACCAGCGGCCAACTCAGTGCCTTGTGCATGCCTCCGGTGCCCCCTGGTGGCTCTAAGTGGATTCCTCTAGCCAGGTCCCTATGCCCCCCCCCAGGGGCATAAAGTGTAGCACAATCCAACACTAAGAGCCTTGCGCCTCCCTATTTCCTTTCTCCACCTTAATCTGAAGGATCTGCCAACTTTTGGGGAGGATTTTTCGAGATATGGTTTCTCTGTGTAGCAGCCCTACCCGTCCTGGAACTCGCTCTGTAGACCAGGCTGGCCTGGAACTCACAGAGATCCACCTGCCTCTGCCTCCCAGTGCTGAGGTTAAAGGTGTCCGCCACCAGTCCCTGCTAGGTTGTTCCACTCTAAAATGCAGCCCCTCCATCTGATGGACAGTTCTGATGCGGGGGTCCCCGCCTGCGGGCGGCACTGTCTTCCCGGCCTCACCTCCGCATGGCAGCCGCCTCATCTGCCTGGTAGAGTGGAGAGCGCTCTTTGAGCTGCTGCCGCAGCGACTTCCAGCGATCCTCCAGCATCTGCTTTACTGGGTCCAGCTCCAGGCGGTCCAGCTGGGAGATGGGCACCAGGTGAGCTTAAGGGGGCTGGTGGATGAGGGGAGGGTCTGACGGCAGCCCCCGCCTGCCCCGCACGCGCATGCTCCTTCTCCCGCCCTCACCTTGCTGTCCATCTCCGCCAGGAGCTTGTCCAGAAGTTTCTGCCAGTCCTGCTCCTGCCCGCTCATCTTGGCCACCAGCTCCTGCATCATGTGGTTCAGCTGCTCTGTGGCGGCGTCAAATTGGATCCGGCTCACCTTGGATGCCAGAGCGCTCTTGTCTGCTTTCTGCAGGAGAGAACAGTGCGGGGTGGGTGGGGGTGTTCCTCCACGAGCCTGCCCGTACCCCCCGTACCCCCAACCCTGCGCTGGCCCAGGGAGGGGCCGGAGAGGCTCCTGGGGTCCTGCTGCTCACCACATCAATCTCCATCTCCAGGCGCTCTCGGTCAGCCTTTTCCTTCTCCAGCCTCTCTATTCCCTGGTACAGCACCTGCAGACCCACAGAGCAGAGAAAACGAGGGGTCAGCAATGCTGTGTGAGCCTCTTCTCCACCCCAGGCATCCTGTGGCTGCTCACTTCAATGTCTTTCTGCTTCTGCCGATGGTCCTCAATGAGGTTGCTGGTAGTAATGTTGAGCTTCTCACAGTCGCCCTGGACTTGGAGGATGGCACTCTGCACGTGGCCCAGCAGCTCCTCATCCTGCAGCAAAGGAGGCTCTTGGGAGACTGCTAGGACACCTCGTGAGCAGTACTAACACCAAAAGCCAGGTATGACAGTGCTGGCCTCTCGTCCCAACACTCAGGAAGCTGACTGAGCATGGACTGGGCCACATAGTGAGACTCTGACAGACAAGGACAAAGCTTGGGAGATAACCCCACACATAAAAGTGTTTGTTGCTAAGCTTGGTGACCTGACCTCAATCCCCAGGACCTCCATGGTGGACAGAAAGAAATGGCTCCTGCAAGTTGTCCTCTGACTTCTGTAAGTATGCCATGATATGTGCACACATGCGTGCATGCATATGAGCATGTGAGCGCAATCGACTCATAAATGTTAAAAGAACAAAACCCGTCAACCAACACATGTGCTCACTTCCAAGCCATTCTGGTTTTCCCCAGTGGCACTCACTGACGGTTGTGTCCCTCAGCTGGGCATCGTCAGCTACCCACCCCATGTTGATGGACTGGCATCCCTGGCCTTTGGAGTCACCAGAGAGGTGACCTAGGCTGGGACGTGCTGTGTTGTCCCGTGGCCCCTGAGAGGTGAGGTGTGGACAACAGACAACTCCATGTGTCTCCCCGAGTCCAAGTGCAGAAAGCAGGGTCTGGGGTGACGGCCACCCCAGTTGCGAGCTTTCCCTCCGGGGGGAGGCTACAAAGTGTTGGGAACCCTGGCGGTCAAGGACAGCTGTTCCCTGCAGCTGTGCCACTGTCCCTGCGTCCCATAATGGGCGCTATTCCACCCATGGTCAGCCAGTGCCGTTCCACCCACTGAGCCACCCTTCCCATACTCTGCTATCTCCAAAGCCAGCCAGCTCCGCCTACACTGACCTGTGTAAGGACCGAGGCCAAAGGCTCCACTGTGGGGCCCCGACCCTCAAGCTCTTACACGGGGGGGGGGGGGAGGGCAGGGGGGGCACATCCAGCCACCCTATGAGCAGACTCGCCTGGCTCTGCAGCTTGGCCTTCTTGGAAGGCCTGGAGGCAGCCAGGCTGCTGACCATGTCCTGCAGCTGCTCGTAGCGCTGTACCAGCAGGCTGACTTGATGGCTCACATCCAGACTGCAGGCTGGACAGGTGGCCTCCGGGTCGATCTGGCCGGGCACCAGGGTGCTTGTGGACTTGTGCGGGGTTATGCTCATAGACAGCAGCGTGGAGGAGGAGCTCAGCATGCTCTCGATAATGGTCCTGAGCTTGTCCAGCTGGATGTAGGGTAGACATGAAGCGAGCGGGCAGGAAGGATGGTCAGGGCCACATCTAACCCCTGGGGTGGCACATTCTGCCTCTCCTCCAATGTGACAGAGGACAGTCACTGCCACTCAGCACCTAACAGTACACTGTTGAGCTCTACCCATCAAATGGTTTTTCAAATACCTTTTCTGCCGGCAAGGCAGCATCAGTAACAGAGAAAGCGCCTGTGTTTGGGTTTCTCCAGCCAGTCTGTGGGCCCACTGTAAGGGCACAGCTTCTGTAGCTAAATCCTAAAGGGCTGTTCTCACGGGGCTCTGATGACACAATGCTCTTTTAGCACTGGGGGCTTGAACACTGGGGGCTTTTCCATGCTGTCTCACACCCAGGATGTTAACCCTTACCAATAAAGGAATGTGAGACGTGTGAATATAGCTACATGGCCCTCTCGGGGACTGAAGGTGCAAGTTCCTTCCGGGGAGAGCTGCTCAGCCTGGCCTTCCTGCTTGCCTCTTCTCCCCCGAGGCCTTAGGTCCTGGGTAGCCAGCTGGATTCAAGAGCAACCAACCTAGACCCGCTAAAGATGCTGCCTAGCTCCACGAAGGCTCACCATCCCCTTCCTAACGGGCGGGACACCAAATAGATGGTGCAGAGCTTAGGGAAGATATCTGAGACTCTGTGAGAGGTACACAAGTTGCTAGAGGACAGAAGGGAAGGGAGGCCTGCACCTTCAGGAGGGATGAGAGGCCCAGAAAGACAGAGGGAGCTGCCGGCCCCTGGACTGGGAGTTTGCTCTCCAGCCCTTTGCAGGTCCCCACATGATAAAAACTGCCCTTTTGTGTTGCCCCCCCCCCCCCGCAGTCTTCGGCCTCCTAAGGAAGTGTCCCGAGCTAAGGCCAGAGCAGCAGGCAGCTGCTAGGGTAGAGAAAGGCATGCGCTACTCTCTGAGTCAATCCTCAGAAAAGTTGGCTGTCTCAGAGGAATCTTCAAGAATAAAAAGTGGATCCCTGGGAAATTAGGACCAGGAGGACATTTTGGAAAGAACGCATAAGTGTTTGGAGAAAGGCAGGAAGGCCAGGTAGCCAGAGCCTGGTAGGGCAGGTGGTACAGAAGGTAGAACCTTCTAGAAAAGAGGCTAGGGTGCCAGGAGCCCAGGTATGTGCTTGCCTAGTAGTCTGCTCTATTCCAGCACTGCAGAAAGAAAACAAGACTGCAAAGGAGCTGGGTGTGTGTGTGCGTGTGTGTGTGTGTGTGTGCGTGTGTGTGTGTGTGTGTGTGTGTGCAGCCAGTATGAGCTGGCAGGTGACCCTGGACTCTCTGAAGAACCTCCCCCCTCCTCTTACAGGGCAATCAGCTTGGAGTCACGAAGCAACTTGGGGAAGGGGAGGTTGGAGGTGTGGCACAGTGGAAACACCGTCTGGCATGAAAGGCCCTGGGTTTGACCTTTCCAGCACCATGCCTGTGCAGGTACACAGGGCAGCCAGCGGGCGTGGGAGAAGGTCTTGGCAACTCGAGTTACTGGGGAAATGCAAAGCATAGTAACCCCTCACACCCACCAGAATGGTGTAGCTTCCCAAAACGAGAAAAGAGAGGCTGGAGAGATGGCTCAGCAGTTAAGGGCACTGGCTGCCCTCACAGAGGACTCAGGTTTGGTCCCCAGCACCCACATAATGGCTCACAGGAGATCTAAATGTCCTTTTGGACCCCAAGGGCATCTGTACTCAGGTTTGCACATACCCACAACACACATGCACACACACATGCACGTGCCCACCCACACATGCATAATTAAAGATAAATAGAATAAATCTGAAAAGAGAAAAGGGTCTGTGTGGTGAAGATGTGGAGAAACAGCACCCTTTATCCTCTGCTAGTGCGAGTTCACATGGTACAGCTACTTGGGAAAATAGTCTGTCAGCTCCTCAAATGGTCATTCATCATTCTGCCCAGAACTCTACTCTGGGGTCCATGTCCGAGAGGAAAGAGGACATACCTAGACAAATGCATGTGTGTAAATGAATCTCCACAGTGGCATGAACTCTAATGGCTAAAAGATAAGATCCATCCAGCTGTTCGCCTGATGGAAATGGAAACTGCTGTTGCCACAGAATGGAATACATACATACGTGCATGAGGTTGAGGCTGGCCTTGAACTAAGGGATCCACCTGCCTCTGCCTCTCAAGTGCTGGGATTTAAAGGTGACCCTCCCCTCCCCTCCCCACACACCACACATACACATTTCTAAAAGGCTGATACCAATAGACAAGCTAATGTGGGAAAGGAAGAGCTCTTGGGGCCCCAGCCTTAGACAAAGAACTATAGGCAACTAAAGAAAAGCAGAGAGCCAAAGAGAGCATCTTCTCCCAGGAAACCACGCCAATACCAATGGTCAGCCCTGAAAACATACATACAAGTCACATGCAGACCAAGCAGGCTGCGCGCGTACATGCGCGCGCACACACACGTTCACACACAATGAAAGAAAAAGAAGCCATGAATTTGAAAGAGAATAAAGGAGGGTGTATGGGAGGGAGGACTTGAAGGGAGGAACGGGCAGGAGGAAATGATATAATTATAACCTCAAAGTAAAAAATTATTAAAAATAATAGAATATGGCTTAAGGCATGTTTTATGATATGTTAGTTAAAGAAAACACACACCAGGAAACAGGAAGTGAAGGCACCTGTCTGAACTCCTGTACTGATGCCCTTGTCCTTCAGTTTATAGCCTCAGACCCAGTTTTGAACCGGATTGGGACTGAGCCCCAGCCAATAACCGCCCCCCCCATACTGCAGTGCTTTGGGTGAGAAGTGCCCCGCGGAGGCTCGTGGATTTGAACGCTTGGTCCTGGTCCGCAATTGTTGCCTCCTCTATGCAGATGGAAATGTCGTCTGCTAGCTTCCTGCTTCGGCCACCTTACTGCCCCTGCTCGTTATGAGGCCTTTCCACAATAATGGACTATCTTTTTCTAAGTTGCTTTTACTCGTCCTGTTTTATCACAGCAGCAGAAAAGTAACTCCACACATGCCTCCAAACAGGGGCTGTTCTGTGGGTGAGGACTAGGCTGCCTACCCACTGCCCCGCCCGACTCTGGGAGGGGCCCCGGGGCCTCGGCCGCAGACTGCTCACCTGATCCTGCAAGTAGAGGGAGGCTTCAGAGACTGAATTCTCCATGGCGGCCTTGCCTCGCTCTTGGCTCTCCCTCAGCTCAGACAGCTCCTTCTCGATGTCAGACACTGTGACTCTGCAATGTTCAAAGAACAACTGTTTCTGCCACAGGCCCAGGACCCTTTGCCTGTGTAGTGCAGAGGCCTGGCTGTTGGACACACACCAGGATAAGAACCCTAGGAGGAGCCCATTGGTGGTGCACGCCTTTAGTCCCAGCACCTGGGAGGCAGAGGCAGGCAGATCTCTGTGAGTTCGAGGCCAGCTTGGTCTACAAGAGCGAATTCCAGGAGAGGCTCCCAAACCCGACCCAGGAAAAACCCTGTCTCAAACAAATAAAAAAATCCCAGGAGCCTTTGCGACACAACAAGAAGCATCCTAGTGCCAACATGAGGAATGCAGGTTAACTTCTGGGAGACATTGAAAAGACCAGGACAGCGTAAAGAGTTGGTACAATCCTCATGAGAGACAGTACTCAGTACAGTGCACAGGGAGACAGAGGGTACCAGTATTGCCTGGGCCTTAACCATGATGCCCGTCAGGGACCCCAGCTTCGGAGAGAGGGTGTCACCTGAGGATACCCAGCTGCAAGCTCAGATGACTGGGTTTGACATCCTTTCCTCCGGAAACTTCACCATCCAGCAGCTTCTGTATCTTCTCCAGCTACATACACAAAGGAGGCTGTGTCAGACAGACCTGAATGTCTATGCCTCAAGATGGCCCTCAGGGTAGCCACCCCTTTTCTAACCCGTGGATGCCATTGCTGGCCACGGAGACCCAGCAGCCTCTTGCAATGACCTCTATCTCTAAAGAGTCCCTAGTAGAGCTCCAAAGCTATCACATGTCATGTGAGGAGCAGATGTATGTTAACTGGGACAGGGACACACACATACACACACACACACACACACACACACACACATAAAATTTTCTCAAGACCAACTTTTTCTGTGGCTTTGGAGCCTGTCCTGGAACTCACTCTGTAGACTAGGCTGGCCTCAAACTCACAGAGATCCTCCTGCCTCTGCCTCCCAAGTGCTGAGATTAAAGGTGTGCGCCACCACCACCCAGCCACGGCCACCGATATTTTAAAGGCTCTGAGTGCCTGTCTTCAAGACTGATATAGGGTTGTGTTTTCTGTATGACTGGGTATTGAGGGTGCCCTAAGACCACAGCCTAGGGGAGGCTCTGTGGGCATCCAGCCTAGCAGAAACCGCTAAGTCTCTGGTTCACTCTTACGCACTTTGGCCTTGTCCTGCCGAACTTCTTTGTTCAGGGTCTTTAGGCTCTTTAGCTGATCCTGCAGGTCCTGAGGTATGGTCTTTTTGACTATGGAATACAGAAGCTGCCACCATCAGAGTATGAGACTCCCATTGGTCTCCCCACCCGTTTCCAGACCCTTCATAAGAAATTGACCCCCGAGACCAAGATTTCTTGGTGCTGTCTCACTGGTGACTGGGCAAGGGGGTAGGAGAAGCTGGGAGGATTTGCCCAGAGTCTCACTCACTGCCCCGGCCTTTTCCACCCACCACTGAGTTGGGACTGGGAGATGAGCTTCATTTCCAACTCTCTCTCTCCCTCCCTCTCTTCCCACTCATCTCCAGGCTGTGTCCTCCCTTAGTATGTGCTCACCCCTGCTGCCCTGACAATGGCTCTGGGAGTCTGCCATAATCCTGCTGCCTCCCTTTCACACTTAGCTGTCTGCACCCCAGTCCTCCCCACAGGATGTGGCTGGGAGTGGACTCGGGTGTGGGTTGGAGTGTGCTCTGCTCAGGGGACAAAGGGATGATACCCGGGAAAAGCAAATGTTGTGCTCCCTGCACAGCAAATGGTACTCACCCATCATTGCTAGCAGGTACTGAATTTTCTCCAAGTCAGTCTGGCCAGCATGCTCCTCTTCCAAGTCCTTCATGTGTTCCTTCAGTTCCACATAAATGCCAATCATCTCGCCCAGCAGGCGAAATGATTCCACGGCCATGGGGAAACTCGGTGCCAGTTTTTCCAGCGATTCCTGCCGCTCGCTGCGTGTTTCGCTTCCTGATGAGGCCTGGTGGAGATAACTCAAGGACTCTGGAGTCCTGGTGTCAGTGGTATCTTGGTCTGGGCCCATTGGGGTAGCCAGTTCAAACTGGACTGAGGCAGGTTTCCTGCTCGGATCCCAAATGACCTGTTCAGGGCCAGGGTAATTGAGGACAGCCTGTGTTTGATCATCTTGAACTGAAACTTGTTGGTCTGGTCCCTGGTGGTCCCTGGCTTGGCTTTGTACTTGTTCAGGAGTTGGCTGATATGTATCTCCCTGCCATGATAGAAAGCCATGAACCTCCATGCTTGGTGCTATGACACCTGGCTGACTTGTAATGGATTGTCTCAAACCAAGTGGAAATGCACTAGGTTGAATAAAACCATGAGGGTCTGCACCAGGCTGAGCCAGACCTTGAGGCGCTGCACCAGGCTGAGCTATTCCTGGCTGCATCATAGCAAGCCCAGCTGTCCTAGGCTGATCTGCCCCAGGCTTCAGTGAGCCACGCTGATCCATGCCAGGCTGCAATAATTCATACCCTTCTTCCCCAGGCTGTAGAGACTCACGTCTTTCTTCCCCAGGCTGTAGAGATTCACGTCTTTTTTCCCCAGGCTGTAGTGAGTCACGTCTTTCTTCCCCAAGCTGCAGAGAGCCACGCTGATCCACACCAGGTGGCACCAGGCCACGTTGATCCACGCCAGGCTGCACCAGGCCACGCTGATCCACGCCAGGCTGCACCAGGCCGTACTGATGCACAATAGGCTGCACCAGGCCACGCTGATCCACAACAAGCTGCACCAGGCCACGCTGATCCACGACAGGCTGCACCAGGCTATACTGATCCACAACAGGCTGCACCAGGCCACGCTGATCCACACCAGGCTGCACCAGGCCACTCTGATCCCCGCCAGGCTGCACCAGGCCACGCTGATCCACGCCAGGCTGCACCAGGCCACGCTGATCCACGCCAGGCTGCACTGAGCTTGGCTGACCCATGCCAGGCTGCACCAGGCCACGCTGATCCATGCCAGGCTGCACTGAGCTTGGCTGACCCATGCCAGGCTGTACTGAACTTGGCTGACCCATGCCAGGCTGAACTGAGCTTGGCTGACCCATGCCAGGCTGCACCAGGCCACGCTGATCCATGCCAGGCTGCACTGAGCTTGGCTGACCCATGCCAGGCTGCACTGAGCTTGGATGACCCATGCCAGGCTGCACCAGGCCACGTTGATACATGCCAGGCTGCACTGAGCTTGGCTGACCCATGCCAGGCTGCACCAGGCCACGCTGACCCACGCCAGGCTGCACCAGGCCACGCTGACCCACGCCAGGCTGCACTGAGCTTGGCTGACCCACACCAGGCTGCACTGAGCTTGGCTGACCCACACCAGGCTGCACTGAGCTTGGCTGACCCACACCAGGCTGCACCAGGCCACGCTGACCCACACCAGGCTGCACCAGGCCACGCTGACCCACACCAGGCTGCACCAGGCCACGCTGACCCACGACAGGCTGCACCAGGCCACGCTGACCCACGACAGGCTGCATCAGGCCACGCTGAACCACGACAGGCTGCACCAGGCCACGCTGATCCACGACAGGCTGCACCAGGCCACGCTGATCCACGACAGGCTGCACCAGGCCACTCTGATCTACGATAGGCTGCACCAGTCTAGGCTGCATCACCTGACGCTGAATTGCCACAGGTTCCACAAAACCATACTGATACATCCTAGGTTGCATCAAGCCTTCCTGGTCCATGCCAGGCTGCACCAAGCCACTCTGGTCTACTCTAGGCTGTGCCAAGCCATCCTGGTCTGCACTAAGTTGCATGGAGTCAGGTTGAAGTGTTCTGGATTGTGCCAAGCCAAGTTGCACCAAATCACGCTGATCTATGCCAGGCTGTGCCAAACCCTGCTGACCCATGCCAGGTTGAGCTAAGCTACTCTCACCTGCACCTGGTTGTACTGAATCACTGTGGTCCATTCCAGGTTGCGTCCAATCAAGTTGATCCATACCAGGTTGCAGCACACCTTGCTGGTCTCTACCTGCTTGGAGTTGGAGTAAACCATATTGTGCTGCACCTGGCTGCACAAAACCATACTGATCAGTTCTTGGCTGAACCAAACCGTATTGACTTATACCAGGCTGTATCAGGCCAGGTGAATATGTGTCAGTCTGTACCCAACCACTAGGAAAAGCCCCAGGTTGCACCAGGCCACGCTGACCTACGCCTGCTTGTGCCATACCGAGCTGATCTGCACCAGGCTGTGCAAAACCATGCGGATCCATTCTAGGTTGTACCAAACTCTCCTGAATTGCACCGAGTTGCGTCAACCCAGGTGCATGCACATCTGGCTGTACCAGCCCAGGTTGCACTGCACTTGGTTGTACCGATCCATAGTGATCCATTCCAAGTGGTACCAAACCATGTTGATCTACACTAGGTTGTACCAAACCAGGCAGAAATGCACCAGGCTGTGCCCAGCCACGCTGATCTGTGCTCAGTTGAACCCAAACAGGCTGACCCGTGCCAGGTTGCACTAAACCTTGTTGACCTGCACCAAGTTGTGCCAAACCAGGTGGATATACACCAGGTTGAATCAAGCTAGGCTGGCCTGCACCAGGAGGTACCAAATGGTGGTCTGTGCCAGGCTGCACCAAACCATCCCAATCTGTGCTAGGTTGTACCAAACCACGTTGATCTGCCACCGGCTGCACCAAGCTCTGCTGATCTGACCCTGGCTGTGCTGAACTCTGTCTACCTGCTCCAGGACGTGCTGAACCTCGCCAACTTGCCCCAGACTGCTCCAGACTCTGCCGTTCTGCCCCAACTGGTTCTGAACTACGCCGCTCTGCTTCAGACTGCACCAAACTCCGACGATCTGACCCAACAGGTTCTGAACTACGCCTATCTGTAGCAGGCTTCACCAAAACACGGGGATCTATACCAGGTTGTATCAACCCACGCTGATCTACACCACGCTGCACAACACCACGCTGATCTACAAGGGGCTGCACAACACCATGCTGATCTACAAGGGGCTGTACAACACCACGCTGATCTACACTGGGCTGCACAACACCACGCTGATCTACAAGGGGCTGCACAGCACCACGCTGATCTATACTGGGCTGCACAACACCACGCTGATCTACAGGGGGCTGCACAACACCACGCTGATCTACACTGGGCTGCACAACACCACGCTGATCTACAAGGGGCTGCACAGCACCACGCTGATCTACACTGGGCTGCACAACACCACGCTGATCTACAGGGGGCTGCACAGCACCACGCTGATCTACACTGGGCTGCACAACACCACGCTGATCTACAGGGGGCTGCACAGCACCACGCTGATCTACAGGAGGCTGCACAGCACCACGCTGATCTACAGGAGGCTGCACAGCACCACGCTGATCTATACTGGGCTGCACAACACCACGCTGATCTACACTGGGCTGCACAGCACCACGCTGATCTACAGGAGGCTGCACAACACCACGCTGATCTACAGGAGGCTGCACAACACCACGCTGATCTACAAGGGGCTGCACAACACCACGCTGATCTACAAGGGGCTGCACAACACCACGCTGATCTACAAGGGGCTGCACAACACCACGCTGATCTACAGAGACCTGCACAACACCACGGTGATCTACAAAGGACTGCACAACACCACGCTGATCTACAAGGGGCTGCACAACACCACGCTGATCTACAGGGACCTGCACAAAACCACGCTGATCTACAGGGACCTGCACAACACCACGCTGATCTACAGGGACCTGCACAAAACCACGCTGATCTACAGGGACCTGCACAACACCACGCTGATCTACAAGGGGCTGCACAACACCACGCTGATCTACAGGGACCTGCACAAAACCACGCTGATCTACAGGGACCTGCACAACACCACGCTGATCTACAAGGGGCTGCACAACACCACGCTGATCTACAAGGGGCTGCACAACACCACGCTGATCTACTCGGAGCTGCACAACACCACGCTGATCTACAAGAGGCTGCACAACACCACGCTGATCTACAAGGGGCTGCACAACACCACGCTGATCTACTCGGAGCTGCACAACACCACGCTGATCTACAAGGGGCTGCACAACACCACGCTGATCTACACCAGGCTGCACAGCACCACGCTGATCTATACCAGGTTGCCCAACACCACGCTCCTCTGCTTCAGGCTGGATCAAGCCACGCTGTTCTGTACCAGGTTGCGTGAACCCTGGTGCTTCCAAGCTGGGCTGTCTAAAACCTTGTTGATCTGTGCTAACTTGCAGCAAACTGGGTGACACCAAACCATATTGATCTGGATGAGATGGAAGGAACGCACGCTGATCTATGCCAGGCATTACCAATCCCTGCTGATCCACACCAGGGGGGACCAATCCCTGCTGACCTGTGCCTAACACTACAAATCCATGCTGATCTATGCCAACTGGTATCAGCCCTTGCCTATCCGTGGCCCATGGTCCCAGACCACTGTCATACATAACAGCCTGTTCCATTCCATGTTGATCTGTTCTAGGAAGTATCATGCCTTGCTGATATACGCTGAATGGAACAGAAACAGACTGAGCTATACTGAGTTTGTCCAGTCCTTGTTGACCCCTGGCAAGTACCGATGGTGAGACCATGGCACTCTGATCCACAGCAAGAGGCACCAGTCCCTGGTCATCCATTTCTGGTGGCAATACACCAAGCTGACCCATAGTGAGGGGTATCACAGCATGAGAATAAGAGCCAGGGTATAGCAGTGCAGGTTGATCCATGCCAAATGTCCCAATTCCACGCTCATCCGGCCGTGGGTAAACCTGACCCTGAGTAGTGGGCACCCCACCATGCTGGTCTCTGGCTGCAGGTAAGTCCTGTCGAGTTGGGCCAGGCTGCTGTCCATCTCTTCTTGAACCTATGGAAGCTACAGACTCTCTAGTACCCCGGCTATCTGTTTCTGATAAGACCTGGGATGACTCACGGGCCCGTGGGCGCAGATCTCGAAATCCAGTACTAGATCTGCTCTGATCTCTACTAATGACCCTTTCAGGGGTCCATGCTACACCACTGGCTAACATCTGTTCTGGGCCACCAATAGAACCTAGAGTCTGGTCAGCCACTGAGGCTTTGGGAAATACTCCACTTGGAATGTCACTTGATGTTAACGATGTAATTTTGCGCCTGCCAAGTGTTGCTGATGATGAATCTGAGCTCTGGGGTAAAGAGAAAGAAGGAAATTAGTTACAACTAGTAAGAAGCTGTCAAAGCTGAAAGGAAAAAGCCATCTTGGGTATTGGACTGGGATGACTTAAGACCCTTGCAGAAAAGAAACCCTCTGTGTGTCTGTGTTGTATTTGTGTGTTGTTTGTGTGTGTCTGTGTGAGTTTGTGTGTGTGTTTGAGAGTGTGAACATGTGTATGCTTGATGCTGGGAATTAAACCTGGGCTGTGGAAATGTTAGATAGGTCCTGTACTGCTGGATCATATTCCAAGCCCTTTGTTTTACCCTTATATTGAGAGTCTCCATTAATCAATCGTCTAGGCTGGCCTTGAACTCACTCTATAGCCTAGGCAAGCCTTGAGCATCGCACCCTCCTGCCTCTGCCTCTGGAGTGCTGGGATTATAGCTGTGCACTACCATGCCACGTTTGTCAGCTCTGGGAGGACCGATCCCTATAGTTTGTGCATGCTCAGCAAACCTTATACCAACCAAGCCACAGCTGCAGCTCCCTGGTTTGGCTTTTAAGAGAAACCCTGTCTCAAACACACACACCAACAGGAACAAAATCATTTACTGGCCATTTCTTGCGGGTGAATATGTATGTGTTCCCATCTGTGGAGGCCAGAGATGGTCAATGTGTGTCTTCCTCAGTCCCTCTCCTTATCCTTTTTGAGGCATGGTCTCTCGTGCAACTGTGAGCCCAGTTCAGCACAGCTGGCTGGCCAGCAAGCACCAAGGATCCTCTTATATCTCCCTCCTCAGAACATGGACTACAAGCGCACACCTCTATGCCTTGTGGTGATTTATTGTTTATGATCTAATAAAGCTGCTGGAGGTCAAAATGCAAAGTCAGCCACACATGGAAATTTGGCAGTGGTGGCGCACACCTTTAATCCCAGCACTCAGGAGACAGAGGCAGATGGATCTCTGAGTCCAAGACCACCCAGGGATACGTCTAGTAGAAAATGGAGCTCAAGCCTTTAATCCCAGCAGCAGAGAGGTCTATAAGGAAGAAGCAAAGGGGCTCATGGGAGATTCAGTTTCCATTCTCAGGGAAGACAGGACCTCCATTTCAGCCTTGCTAGAAGTAAGAGTTACTGGATAGCTGCTTTGCTTCTCTGAGCTTCAGCTTGAACCCAATATGTGTCTCAGGGTTTTTTACTATCCGTGATACAATGTCTGGATTTGCAGGGGTGCCAGGGATGAAACTCAAGGCTTCAAGCTACACATGCTCACTGCACAAGCTGCATAGCACAGGATGACTCTCCCCACCCTGCCCTGGATTCTTTCTAGTTCTCCACAGAGATCTGCAAAAGAAGACTTTTGTCTTTTGCTTTAACTTTAGCCTGCTAGGTGTTTCATAGGCCTTTGTTTGGTTGGTTGGTTTTTTTCAAGACAGGGCTTTTCTGTGTAGTCTTGGCTGTCCTGGAACTTGCTGTGTAGACCAGGTTGGCCTTGAACTAAAAAGAGATCTGCCTGCCTCTGGCTCCTGAGTGCTGGGATTAAAGGTGTGCGCCACCACTGCCTGGCTCTTACGCATTTTTTTTTTTTTTAAATTAAGATTTTTACTATTTAGTCAGCTAGTTAGTTTTGAGACAGGGTCTCACTCAGTAGTCAGTTCCAGCTGGCCTGGAACCCCTGATGTGGATCAGTGACTCTGCCTGCTAAGGTCATGTGACAATGACTAAGGTTGCCAGGCATATGGTGGTCAGCTGTACCATCTCAGGGTGGACAGACACGTTAGCAGGGGCCTCTTGCTAGATCACTAGTTCCAGCTCTGGCCAGTACGAACCAGTGTGTGTTAAAGAGTGAATGCTTTTTAGGATGGTCTGGAGAGGAAAGTCTGGAGAGCTAAAGGAGCAAGGAACCCACCCTTAGACATTCTTTCTCTGCCAGCGGCACTGGCCAAGTTCAGCAACGTGAGCACTGACACACAGCCTAGGTGGGGAGCCTTAAAGAATAAAGGGGCCTTTCCCTGTGTTGGCTGATGGGACTCTAAGCTGGAGCAACATACAGTAGCAATGGGTAGAGAGATCATGAAGGTGTGCTTCCCAAACTCAGGGATTTGCCCTGTTCAGTCATGTCAGGTGCCACCCTGGGGGAAATGTTTTAAATATCCACAATGTAGAATGTACAAAGTAAATTAGGAAGATACACATGGGGCAGCGGTGAGCGTGAGACAGGTCCTCTGGGATCCCACGCAATGCCACTGTCCAGGACCCCTGTTCGTTTACCCCTCTTGAGGCTTTCCAGCCATCAGTGATAGCTTGTTCCAGCTCCTCCCAGGTGACCATGGTGATTTCTTCACCACCTGGAGCAAGATTCAGCCTCCGACTTAACTGATCCTGTCAGCAACAGATCAAGACACAGACACATGCACGTCTAAGCATGAATGTACATACCCCGCTCAGCCTGCACATCTGACCCCAGGGCTGGGTGGGTGCTACCAACCCTGGCCATCAGTGACCAGCCCCAAGTACAGAATTGTCTGACTGGTTTGTTTGTCTCACATCAACCTGAATAGAGAGAGCCCTGAGCAGAGATGGCACCTCCATCGGGAAGTGGGTGCCACTTGATGGCAGAGTGCCTGTACCACCCACCCCCAAATGACACAGATGCTGGCATGGGGGGGGGTTGAGACAGCCCTAGAGATAAACCAAGCCCTTTCCCCAGGGCTTGTCTGTATTACCAGGTATTCCTCTCGGTCTTTGACTACCTTCTCCAGTTCATTAAGACGCTGAAGGAGTTCCTGCAAACAGTTTGGAAATGGACCATCACTCAGCCTTCCTGCCTGCATACATGTGCGCGCACACACACACACACACATGCTCCCATGCACACACACACACATGCATGCATGCATGCACACACACTGCCATGGACACATATGCACACACATTTCACACACACTCCCATGCATGCACACACATGCACACACACTCCCCCCCCCACATGCACATACACTCTTATGCACACACATGCACAGGCATACACATGGACACTGTCTCAGTGCAAATGGCATTCTAGTTTCTACCTCGTTTTACCTGGCAGGTAAATCCAGGTTCCCAGTTCTTTTCCTGGTCAATGGGAAGGAGGGTAGGGGGATTGTAGTGGTGATAGGGTGTGGTAGGCCCAGTCAGTGTTCCTGTGGGGGAGGGACTGCTGGCCCTGGCTTCACCTCACACACTACCCACCACCAAAAGCTTCCAACCCTACAGCACAAGGCCTCTCCAAAGTCAAGTTCCAGGTCCCTCAGCACCCTGATAATCTGAGCCATGGAAGGAGAGTCCCAGCAAGTGACCCAATACTTCAGGTGCGGACATCCAGGATCTAAGACTCAAAAGTTCAGAAAAGTCCAGGCATGGTGGTGCATGCCTGTTATCCCAGTCCTTGGGAGGTGACTGCAAGGATCAGGTGGTCAAGGCCAGCTGGACTACAAAAAAAAAAAAAAAAAAAAAAAAAAAAATCTGGGTGTTGATGGATGGTGTGTACCTTTAATACCAGCAGTTGGATTTCTGAGTCCAAGGCCAGCCTGGTCTACAAACTGAGCTCCACAGGACAGCCAGGGCTACACAGAGGTGCCCAAAACAGAGAAAATGAGGTTTGGTTCCATTAGCAAAAACAACAGGTGGGAGGTTCCCAGGCTGCCGTAAAGCCTGCGGGGGGGGGGGAGGGGGGAGGGCGCCACGCCGGGGCGTGGCCTCCTTCGCCCTGTCTCGCATCCATTTGTTCCCTCCTCCATCCTTTCTTCCTGACCGCCCCACACCTTCATAGAGGGCCGCCTGTAACCCCGTGGCCTAATCTGTGTTAGGAGATGGGTCTGCCTGTGTGCAGATGGAGCTGATTGCTTTGTGTCTCCTAGCGACCGCAGGACAGTGTACACAAGGCGTCTCGGGACACACTTCTCCCTTAGGAAAATCCAAGGCAAGGTCACAGTGTCCCCAGCCTGCTGTAGCTTGCATCTGCAACTATGGGGCACTGGTACCCGACTTTCTCCCCTGACCGCTGCCCCAGGACTGATCTTCGGGTCTCGACAGTCACTACCCGATTTCTTTATCCCCCCCTTAGGGAGTGGAGGCCGCTCCGAGTCCTGGATGTGTATGTACTGTGTACGTGGGCACAGCTGTGTGCGGGACCCCAGGGCCTCAGAAACACAGAGGAATGGCAAAGACACCCCACACACCCCTTTCTCTGATCTGTGTGTTGACGGTGTGTGCAGAAAACCACCTGTAGCACTTTTCCTCCGTGGGAATTTACAACTGAAGGCTGCCGCCCCACAGGCTGCTCCGACTGATATGGGCTAAACCTGCGTCCATGTTTGTAATAACCCTGCCTCCCTCGTCAGCTGTTCATAATAAAGACACTTTGTTTGGGGCGTGACATCTCAAAAGCCCAACTCTCCCCCCCCCCCACAGTGTGTGAGTGTGTGTGTTTGTGTGTGTGTGTGTGTGTTCATTCTTCCTTTGCTGCCCCCTGGAGGCTGGAGGACCACCAGCACTCCGCCACTCCCCCCAGGCTGGCCTAAAATTTACTGTAGCTGCCTGGCCTGGCCTTGAACTTGCAGCAATCAATCCTCAGCCTCCCAAGTGCTCCTGGGATTACAGGCAGTAACTGGCATTCCCTACTACTCTTGGTTAATTTGCTTTGTGTTGTGGTTTGAATGAGAATGGACCCCATAGGCCCATATATTTAAATGTTTGGGCAGTGGCGCTATTTGAGAAGGATTTGAGAAGGATTCGGAGGTGTCTGCCTGTGGGTCTGGTTGTAGAGCTCCCAGCTACTTCTCCTGCATCATGCTCTGCCTGTATGACAATGGACTGGACCTTTGAAACTGCAACAAGCCCCAATTAAATCCTTTCCTTTATAAGAAAGTCACAGCAACAGGGCACTGACTATGTAACCCTGGCACTCACTCTGTAGCCGAGGCTGGCTTTGAACTCACTGAGATCCACCTGCCTCTGCCTCTCCAATGCTGGGATTAAAGGCATATGCCACTGCTGTCCAGTTTCTTTTTTAAATAGGTAATTGTGTTCCTTTTTAAAAATTATTTTCTCTTTTAATTTTTTCACTTTTTTTTTTTTTATGTGCAAAGGTGTTTTGCCTGTGTGTATGTCTGTGTGTGGGGTCAGATCCTGGAACTGGAGTTACAGACACATGTGAGCTGCCATGTGGTTGCTGGGAATTGAACCCCGGTCCTTTGGAAGAGCAGCCAGTGCTCTTAACCGCTGAACCATCTCTCCAGCCCTGATAATCTTTACTTTTAAGGAGAATTCACTTTAAGAGTATTCTGTGATGTCAGGCTGGATACATGGCTCAGTGGTTAAGAGTACTGGCTGCTCTCCAGAGATCCTGAGTTCAATTCCCAACAACCACATGGTGGCTCACAATCATCTGTAATGAGATCTGGTGCCCTCTTCTAGTATTCAGGGAGACATGCAGATAGAATTCTGTACACATAATAAATAAATCTTTAAAAAATGTAAATAAATAAATAAATAAATAAATAGAGTATTCTGAGATGTCAGCTCCTATCTAGGTCACTTTAGATTTTATAGGTATCTTGATGTTTTGTTTTGTTTTTTCTTGATAGTGTTTTAAAAGATTCATTTATTTTTATTTTATGTGCATGTATGTCTGTGTGTGGGTGTCAGATCCTGGAACTGGAGTTACAGACAGCTGTGAGCTGCCATGTCAGTGCTGGGAATTGAACCCCAGTCCTTTGGAAGAGCAACCAGTGCTCTTAAGTGCTGACCATCTCTCCAGTTCCTCTTGATAGGTTATTATTAGTGGGGCTGCAGAGATGGCTCAGCAAGTAAGAGCTCTCTGGCTGCTCTTATGGAGGACCAAGGTGCCTACCAGGTGGCTCCCAATGCCTGTAATTCCAGCTCCAGGGATTGGACACCATCTTCTGGACTCCCTAGGTAGTGCATGCATGTGGGTGCACACACAAGCAAGCAAAAAAATTACCCATACACAACAAAGTAAAAATAAACAGACCAGAATAAGAAAATGAGCCAGTCAGTGGTGGTGCACTCAGGACGAAGAGGCTGGCGGATCTCTGTGAGTTCAAGGCCAGCCTGGTCTACACAGGACAAGCCAGAAACCCTGTCTTGAACCAAAAAGGGGGAAAAAAAAAAAAAAGGATGAGAGTTGTAGCCAAACACCCCCCCCCCAACCACTGTAAGATGTGGTCCCTAGGATGTCCTCACCTGGGCATTCAGCTCAGGGAACTCCTGCGTCTTCCGGTGGGCTTCCTTCAGGGTTTTCATGTCTTCCACGAGGTCTTGGAGCACACTCATGGACTGCAAGAGAGAGTGGAAACTGTGTGAGGTCAGCCTGGCACCCCTATCAGCTTAGGGACCAGGGTGGCCTGGAGGAGCAGAGGTTCTGTAGGGTCGGGGTACCCACCTTGGCTGGGCTGACTTCTTTCTGAGTCTTTGAGAGCCGTGGTTGGATCGTCAGCACCTGAGGGGACGTCCCGCCTGTGGAGGGCTCAGGCCTCTCCAGCATGTCCATGGAGTCATAGGTCTTGAGGGACATCTGTGGGGTTAGAGTCATCTCCTCCAACTTGGGAAAGTCCTGGAAGAGGTCAGGGACTGTGGAGATGTGCTCCACGTGCGTGGCGATGCCTTGCATTTTGTTGTCCATATTCTTAATCTGCTTACTGAGGTCCTGCAGCTGGCTGCCCAGGTCCTTCACCTGGCTCTCCAGGGTCTGCTGAGGCAGTGACAGTTTGACCAGACTCCGGCGCTTCTCTTGCTTTTCTTTGCTGGTTGACACGTGTGGGGTGCTGAAGGAGCTTCGGATCACCTCAGGGACTGGGCGGCCAGGCTCTACCGACGGGTAGTGGAAATCGATGAGGACCTCTTGGAGGTTGAGGCTCCTGAGCATGGCAACTATCAGTGTGTGCAGGGCCGTGAAGTTCACCGCTCCCACTTCTGGAGTCCCGATTGCTAGGTCGGCCAGCTCCCGGAGGGTGACCTTGTCGGTTGCTAATGAAGGTGCCATCGTGAGCTCTGTTGGGATCCGCGGGAGACCCAAGGAGGAAGGGCGACGAAGCGCCCCTCGCTCCTTGCAGGTCTATGGGGCCAGCTCTGAGCAGGTGGCTCCTGTTTGTGGGTCTGTGGCCTCCAAGCTGGAGCCCTGGGCTCGGCTTTCCTCGCCCGGCTCTTGGCCAGTGGACGTTTGGAACGAGGGCGCACGGTTTGCGGCCGCGTTGCTGAGGCGCGGGACAGCAGAAATTCTAAGAACGTGCTAGGGTTGGGCTAGCCCTTCCTGCGACATACTTAAAAACTACAGGGGCGGCTTTGGCCACACCCCAAAGTGCCTCCAGCTTTTCAGTAACGCTCCCAAGGAAACGGTAATGTGGGCCAAGAGCATCTGCATTGCCCAGAGGTAGGCTTGGGAGGCTGAGGCAGCCTTCTGTGGATCCACCAGAGACTCCAGTCCCTCAACACAGAAAGCCAGATCCACTAGCTCTGTAGGGTCTCGTCGCTTCTTAGGGGCAGTTTCTAGACAACCTTTGTTCACTCAGGAGGCTGGCAAGGCTGCCCTAATCTCATTTAGCCCTCAGCTAGGCTTTTTCAGAAAACAGATATCAGGCAGCCCAGCTCACAGACCCATGATGGCTAAAACTTAGATTTGCAGTTTAGTCTGAATGGGCACCATTTTTTATGGAGGAAATTCTCAATAGGCTATTTGCATCACCTGGCAACAGTAGGCCAAAGGTTAACTTCCTAACCCTGTTCTTGGACATGTGGGTCATGACTCCTTGAGCTGCGTTTCAGATGTTATGACTTATCTACATTGCAACCCATAACAGTAGCAAAGCTACAGTTAGGAAATAGCAATGGAAATAATTTTATGTTTGGGGGTCACAACATGAATAACTATATTATAGTATCAAAGCATTAGGAAGGTGCCATCCCTGGACAGGTGACCCTGCAGTGTATTAAGAAAGCAGGCTTGCCTATCTATCTATCTATCTATCTATCTACCTACCTACCTACCTACCTATCCATCCTGCTATCAAGACAGGGTTTCTCTGTGTAGCCCTGGCTGTCCTGGAACTCACTCTGTAGACCAGGCTGGCTTCGAACTCAGAGAAGCTGAGGGCTACAATTAAAGGCCTGTGCCATTGTCCAGCTCAGGCACTATGAGTGTTGGACCTGGTGCTCACCAGCCAGAGAGGGCCCAGGATCGCCTAGAACTTGTTACAGATAACTACTACACAGGTGCTGGGAACTAAACCAGTCCTCTGCAGAAGCAAGAGCTAAGCTCCCTTCAAGCTCAGTCTTTACAGCACTGGGGAGGCAGACACAGGCATGCAGTCAAACAAACACATCTGAAATCACAAAAACCAACAGCCAGGTGGCATGTTCTAACCCAGGAGTCTATTCTTCTAGCTACACACATCTTAAGGGAGAAATGAGAATATCAGAGAAATATAGATCCAATTTTAGAATAGAGGACCCAGAGTTTTCATCTCTAATTTTGTGTGAGGGGATTGGGGTCAATCCCCATGTGTCCCACAGGGGCCACCCACCTTGCATTTTATGACAGGGTATCACAGGGCCTGTGGCATGTCAATGAGACAAGCTCGAGCCTGTGTCCTGCCTCTCCAGTGCTGGGATTATGAGGTAGTATGTGGCCTTCTGTTAGGTGCCAGTGATGAACTCGGGTCCTTACACTTCCTAGACAAGCACCTTACTGGGTTAACTCCAGTTAACCAGCAGGGACTAGATGTCTACTTCGTCTAGTTAAGGACAAGCCTCATGGTACACACCTTCAATCCCAGCACATGGGAGGTAGAGGCAGGTGGATTGCCAAGTTCAAAGCCAGCATGGTCTAGAGTGAGCTCCAGGATGCTCAGATCCTACACAGAGAAACTGTCCAAAAAATACACAGAAAGCCCCAGAAGCTGGGGAAGAGTGCTCAGGGTGAATGCATGAGAACCTGAGCCTAAATCCTCAAAACCCACACAAAGAGCCAGGCATGCCTGGAGCCCCAGCATGGGGCCTCACAGCCAGTCAGGCACCCTAGGCCAGGGCAAGCATCTGGTTCACATCTTAGAGAACAGGCCTCGGGCGCCAGCCAATACCACTCCCTCTGGGTGTTTCGTTTTTTGTCTACTGGGTCACAGCTCTTCCTCTACCACCAAGCCAACCATCTTAATGGCTGAGTTCTTTGCTCAATTCCCCTCACGTGGATCATTAACAGAAGGTAACTTGTGTGTTTGAAAAGACCGATGCACAAAGTCCTGATTGTAGGCTGGGAAGCTTCCTCATCGTTAAGGGATAAAGGAGGGAGGAAACCTCCCTGTAGCAAAACAATTGTACAAATGAAAGACTCCTTCCTGTCCAGCAGAGCCCACAAGCCAGTCCCCTTCCCTTCCCTTCCCTTCCCTTCCCTTCCCTTCCCTTCCCTTCCCGAGATGGCCCTCCTCTCTAGGGTGCCTGGCTGGGAACTGAACAGGCTTAAAGATACAAAGAGCTCTGCAGTGTTTGCGCATCTCCCGGCCAAGTGTAGACTGCAACTGTGATGGCAACTGCCGCCATTACTGCTCCTCACATGGAGGAGGCCCTCCATGCTAACCCGAGGGGATGGAGCCGGCAGGAGACGTATCTGATCCCCGGCCACCTGCATAGCACAGACAGGGTCATCACAATCTAGGGGGAGCAGGGAGCCCCGCAGTAGACAAGACACCAGAGAGACGGGAAACTTTTATTCGCAGCTTCCGAGAACACAGATGCTGAGACAAGGGACTGCTCTCTAATCTGATCAGCCGAGAGCAGACAAGGCGCTTCACTGTTGGACGGCAGCAGGCACAGGGGTTCCCGAAAGAAAAGTGATTCTCTGTAAGACTATCAGAACCTTGTCCAGGGGAGAGGGCATCCGCACCAACAGTGCCAGGGACACTTGGCTCCCTGACCAAGCTCAATGGTCCGCTTGCCTTCCCCAGAGCTGACACTATTAAACAGAACAAGCAAGGAGGCTGTGCCCTTGATTATCTTCCACCTCAGCATGATCAACAGGGCTGGAGGCGGCAGACAGTGAAGGCCGGGCCCTTTACCCGCTAGCTCTGCCTTCCTGCCTCCTCCCCACCGGCCATGTACACTTCCGTGATAACTGTAGTCTACTCCAGGCTGACACGCTGCTGTGTAGGTCCAGGGTCAAGGCAGCTCCAAGTTAGTCATCCACTGTGATGTTCCGGAAGAGGTAAGCCATGGACTCGCCATTGTGGATTCTCCGGATCGCCTCAGAAAGAATCAAGCTGATGTCCACAGTCTTTATCTTGGGACACTGCAGTTTCTGGAGCTCGTGAGGGACAGTGTTTGTCACCACCACCTAGTAACAAAGCAACAGAGAGTAGAGAGTTACTCCCGTGTCAGGAAGTAGCTAGTTACAAAAAAAGCATAGCTAACATTTAATTGAATGCCCTAAGCTCAAGCTCTAAGACATAAAACATTTGCTCCTTCACTGGTACTGAGGGATGCACACTTCACACACGCCAGCTGAGTGTGTATATATTTTATGTTATATATCATATATATATATATATATATATATATATATATATATATATCTCCACTGAGCTATAGCTCAACCTTGGTTTTCACATTAAGAAGAGTCTTGATATGTAACCCAGACTGGAGAAGAACTGTAATTCATCTCTCAAGTGCTGGGATGACAAGCATAAAATTCCATCTGGCCAAGGTACAGAGTTTACAAACTGACATCCACTGGCTCAGAATTTAAGTCCTGAGACTGCCCAGCCCCACCCAAAACTCAACTATCATCAGGGAAAGATATCAAGTATCAACTGTGTTGTCAACATGAAGATGTAAACAGACCTTTATGCAAATCCCAATTCCTAAATGTACATCTGCCTGAATGAGACTGCTAGCAAAAAGTACTGCTGGACAGGTACGCCCCCCTAGCCAGAGAGCAGCAGCTTAACCCTGAGTCATTTTATTATTCCTAGGGACTACAGTAGCAACCTGGATCCAAACTCAGTTCTAAGCCTTTAAAGCAGACTAACCTCATCAATGGAGGATTCCTCAATCAGACGGGGGGCTTCGGCAGACAGGATGCCATGTGTAGCCATGACATAGATCTTGTAAGCACCTCTCTCTTTCAGGATCTCTGCGGCAGCCACAAAACTCTCCACGTCATCAATAATGTCATCCTGCAAGGAGAGGGGGTTTCAACCACTCTCTACCCCAGTTGAGAGAGACATACCTATGCTATACATGGCTTCAGCACTGTTAGAACACATGCCGAGCATCCCGAGGGCAGCCAGAGAGATCTGAGATCTGAGCATCCCGGGGGCAGCCAGAGAGATCTGAGATCTGAGCATCCCGGGGCAGCCAGAGAGGTCTGAGATCTGAGCATCCCAGGGCAGCCAGAGAGGTCTGAGATCTGAGCATCCCGGGGCAGCCAGAGAGATCTGAGATCTGAGCATCCCAGGGGCAGCCAGAGAGAGGCGCCTCTGCAGGGAGAGGTCAATGGAAGCAGCGAGGCTCCCAGTCCCTAGGCGTGTGTGACACGGCAGCTCAAGCTGCCAGGGTAGCTCCCCTCCTTCAAACTCCTGACTCCTCCATAGAGCTGGCATGTGGCTTATTTTGTTCCAAGAGAGGGGGGCATGAAAGGAAGAGAGAAATACAGGGACAGGGAGCTGCTGCTGGTGTAGCTTTCTAGTCTAGTGGCAGCGGCCAGCATGCCCTCGCAAAGCTAGGCTGCACTGGGACACCCGGTCCCTTGGTGAAAATCACAAAGGGCCTGAAATGGAAAAACGATCAAGTGAGCTGGTCTGAAGTGCTCCTGAACCCCTGAAATGAAGGTCACGGTGCTGCACTGTCCTGTGGGAGCTACTGGGCTTTAACTTGTCAGCTATCTGTTAATTTCCAGTCAGTCACTTATGTAAAAATTGTTACTTTCTTAAAGGAGACTAAGTAAGGAAGGGCAATGGCACCGTCACACTGGGTCCCCACTGACCAAGCCACCAGTGTCACCTCTGTGTAGGAATGATGATGAATCTGCATACCACTATGATTGCAATGCGTCCCCCGACGTCTCCGACCACTGTTATCGGTGGCTTCTCTTTGGCCATCATCACTAGCAAAACAAATCACAAGACCCAGTTAGTCAGGTGACCAGATAAATGTAATCACAAGCTGGTGGCAAACTACAGCACAGATGATAGAACCTGGCACACACACCCTCCCCTTGACTGACTCACTCCAGAACCAGAGCTGGCTGGAGCAACACTGCTCACAGAAACAGGAGGCAAACAGAGAAGGGACTTAAATGTTTTAGTAGCTACAGCAAGTAAAAGGTAGGATCCTGGAGGGAGAGGAGCTGCTTTTGGAGGACTTGGGTTCCATTCCCAGCACCCACACCAGTTTACATCCACCCAGGTACAGGAGGTCCTATTCCCTCTTCTGACCCTCCTGGAGCACCAGGCATGCCAGGGTACATAACAGAAACACCCATGCACATAAAATTAAAGATAAAGGGAAAAGGTAAATTTGATATTTCATATAGCATACCTAAAACTGTACTGTATCAATCTATAATTAGTATTAAAATGTACTAAATGTCGCTTGTGATAGCCACCACTATATGAGCTCATTTTGAACATCCACCTCCTCTCTCGGCTGAGACTGTCACATCTGAGGACCCGAGAAATCGTTTGTGCCAACGGCCACCACAGTGCACAGCACGAGCGGGAAACGGAGCGGGGAGGCGTCCACCAGCAGTGGCAGCCCAGGCCTGTCCGTGTGTCCCGGCCAGGCTGACAAAGGAACGTGGGCAAGCTGCCCTGTCCTGCTAAAACCCAATTAGCGGTGGGGTGTTGGTCTCACTTTCTAAGAACCTGATTTGGAACTGCTGCCTTCCTTTAGATGTCTGCTCCACACATCTCCTGGAAATCAGGAACTTAACATGTAACTACCAGATCATTTTCTCATTTACTCTGAAGCAGAGGTTGCTTAGTTCACTACAAACCCTGCCTCTGCAAGAGGCAGCCGGGCCACAGGACCCAGCAAGTAGAAAGCTTCCCTCAATGCAGCTGGGAGAGAATTCAGAGACAGTCGCTGCCCAGCGCCCTGTAAGTCAGCAAAGCGATTGTAACATACACCATGTTGGTAAGCTGTCCCATGCTGTTTGAGCTCACTAAGGCTCTAGCTCTGGAAACATGGTGTCCCTACCCCATACCACTTCATATCCAAGAATGTTTGTATCCACATGTTCAAGGTCTGGGAAAAGGTGCCCCTAAACTGCAATGGGGAGGGAGGGAGGGAGGGAGGAAGGGAGGGGGGGAGGGAGGGAGGGGAGAGGGAGGGAGGGGGGAGGGAGGGTTCCTGTGTCCTTGCGAACAGCTAGGCTGTGGACTATCTACAGGTCACTCATGTTTGCCCCGTGGTATGGAAGTGGCTGTGGAGAGAAAGAACAGCTGAACTCACACTGGTCTCTGCCAGACAGAGTGAGCATCCAATCTGGCGAGCTGTCTCTCTGCTGCCGGCGTTTTACTTGGAAGCAGCACTGGAGAGAACCCTGCTCTGCCTGAGAGCCACCCGGGAAACCAGTCTTAACGGGGCTTCCCCTTTTAATTGCGTCTGTCTGTCTGCATTTATTCTTTTACTTTGGCTGCTATATACTTAATAAACTGAAATTATGGGTATCAGAGGTCATCTTCCAGGCAACAGAACACACTGTGCAGGGCTGATAATGTAGCTCAGCTGCTTGCTTGCCTAGCATGCCTAACACCCCTGGTTTGGTTCCCCAGCTGCCATAAAACTGGGTATGGCAGCATAAACACCATCTTGATTACTTGAGAAGATGAGGCAGGAGGATCAGAAGTTCAAGGTCACCTGCAATTATATAACCAATTTGGGGTCAGCCTGAGCTACATGTAATAGCCCTACCTCAAACACCAAACAAGAGAACCCTGGAAAAACAAGCTAAGTTCCCCCCTCTTCTGATGCCTTTACTACAGGGAAGCACTTCAAGAGCAGCAGTGGGAGAAAGTCCAGCACTAGGCAACCCCAGCTCAGGGATGGTCAGCCAGTTCACTCTGCTGTCTAAGCAAGAGTGAGTCAGCTGGGCTGGAGTCCTGGACCACTCCTGGACAGCCTCCAAAAGACAAAACCCTGGGGGATGGGTGGCTGGAGAGAGGCTCAGCGGCACATGTGTACACACACACACACACACACACACTCTCTCTGGGGAAAAAGGCTAGGCATGGTGGTGCACGACAGCAACCCTAGCACTTGTGTGTGTTGTGTGTGGGGGGGGGGGAGGTCTGAAGCAGGAGGACCTCAAGCCCAGCCCAGGCTGCAAGGAGACTGTCCTGTCTCAAAACAAGCAGCAACAACTGAAAAGACACCGCCTGTCAACAGCCATGACTCCGTAACTGAGTCAGGAGAACTGTCAGTAGGGGCTAAGTCTGATGAGAAGTGGGTATTCAGGGTACACCACTAACAAAGAGGAAAAACAGGAACTTTCCTAGAAGGAACCCTGCCAGGTGCCATCTTAACCAAGACGCCAAAATCAGCCTCTCCAGCAATGGGACATCAACCATGTGTTTCCTGTGGCATTCCAGCCAAATACCCAAATTTGAATCTAAGCATGAGGACATAAACATGTCCCTATTAAGGGGAAGTCTACAGAGTAACTGTCTGTGTTGCTCTGCAGTATCCAGGTCACAGAGACAAAGAGAGGAGGAGCCACCCTGGATTAAATGAGGCCACAGCTGAATGTGATGTGCAGGCCAGGCCCTGGGCCAAACCACACAAGACGGCCCAGCAAGGTCCCTCTTGTGGCTTAGGTAGCAGTCGAGGAGGCGGAGTGAGAACCCAGTGTCACTTGCACACTCACGGACTTAGTGTACGGGCAGAGCCACAGCTCAGGCTCGAACATCCACACAACAGGGTCAGACCTGAAGGCTGGGTGAAGAAAAGGAGAGCACATCTTTCACAGCCAGATAAAACGCCCAGCATACACACACACACACATGCAAACACACAAACCACCCAAGCAAAATTAAAAGCACATTACATACTTTTTATATAAAAAATAGACAAAACTAGAAATAGAAATGAAGCAACGGCCTGGCGTTGGTGGCGCACGCCTTTAGTCCCGGCACTTGGGAGGTGGAGGCAGAGGCAGAGGGTTCTCTGTGAGCTCGAGGCCAGCCTGGTGTCCAGAGTGAGTTCCAGGACAGCCAGGGCTGCACAGAGGAAACCCTGTCTCAAACAAACAGAAATGAAATAGCAGCCTTCATGGGACGGAGAATCACACAACCGAGCTGGCCCCGAGACCAACTGTGGTATTTCTTCTCCCCATTAATCTGTTTCTGAAGCATAGCAAAGAAGATTTTTGAGAAAAAGACTCTCCTCCTCTAAACATCTTAGGCTTGCTGCCATGTGCCCTTGTCAGAGTCTGTGGACGTAAACTGCCTGCACACTGGAAAGAGGAGCAAGTCAGTCAGGTCAGAGCCACCTACTAAACCAAATGGCAAAGGTACCCGGTGCCAAAGCCGATGTCACTAAGTACAACCAAAGGCTTTGGACTCACGCATTCACATGTAGCTGTTCACTAAAGCGAGACGTCATTTAACACAAGCTCTGTGCTGCCCAAACTGTAACCCTGTGCTGGACACCTCAGCTTCCTTATAAAAGGGAGGCAAGCCAGCACTGCTCAGTTACTTAGAAATATAGTGAAACATCACAGAGAGAGGGCCTGTGACCTACGCCTCACTGGTAACCTTCGCCACCCACACTACTGAGAGCTTCTCCAGGTTACAAGTGAAAACACAGAGCCAGTCTTACAGGGCAGCTCCAGGCCCGGATGCACAGTAGCGTTCTTGACCATGGGTGGCGAGTGTCGACCATCATCCATGTCCAGCTCTGTGCACTGAGCTTCTCCATGGATCACAGCCAGGCCCAGGCGCAGTCTCTCAGCATAGGATTGAGCCCTGGAGAAGACAGTGGTTAGCGATGGTGACACACTGATGGAAGAACCCCAGCCCTGCAGGTACCACTCTAGTGATCACAAGACAAAACAGTCAATCTCAGAGATTTCCATAAACCAGGCCAGAAGACAAACACCTCAAAGGCTACTGCTGAATTCTACACGATGTTTTTCCCCTCGCCAATATTCTATAAAGTCATTTCTAGACCTCTGTTCAAATGATACTTCATAAACGGCATTGGGTCAGTCGGGCTGGAGTGTGGTCCAGTTGGCAGAGTGCTCACTGAGCAAGACTGAGGCTCTGCTTTGATCCCCAGTACTATGTAAACAGGGCGTGGGGACACTTGCAAGGAACGGTAGCACTGGATTTAGAGGCAGAAGGCAGAAGGTGTAGCAGGTCACCCCCAGCTACAAAAAGAGCCTAAAGCAGTCTGGGATACCTGCACCATACACTGTCTACAAAACAAAAAATCCAAATAGAACCATTGCCTGAAAGTATGCACAGCCTCGAGCCGGGTGTTGGTGGCGCAGAGGCAGAGGCAGGCAGATCTCTCTGAGTTCAAGGCCAGCCTGGTCTACAGAGTTAGTTCCAGGACAGGCTCCAAAGCTACACAGAGAAACCCTGTCTCGAAAAACAAGAGAGAGAGAGAAAGAAAAAAAAAGAAAGTATTCATGGCTTCACTGTTTTCCTTAAACTTTTAAGAATTACATTTCCTTCCAGAGGAAAACTGACTAACACCGTGTAAGATGAAGCTACTGAGTGGTTGTGAACCCATGAACTTTTTACAGGCCACTATAATAGCCCTGGGTTTCCACACTGACTCTGACTTCAGAAGCAACCACAGGGGACAGAAATATCTGAAATATTTACCTTTTTGCAGCATCAGGAGACTTAGCTACAATGACTGCATTTCTGTAATTTGGAATCTAGATTTGGAGGAAAAATAAAAGAAAACCACTGAAACATTATTAAAAAATACTTAGATCTGGGTACTGTCTAAGACTGGTGAAGGCACTAGCGACCATTGTTCACACTGACAGGGGCCCTCACCGTCACCACTGACTCACTGCTGTAACATAACAGCACCGGCTGCCAAAAGACCGCAAAACCGTTAACGCCTTCGTTCTAGAAAACGCAAGGGTAAAAGTGCTCAGGGAAATACTGTTCTGACTACATGTCTATCTGGCAGTGGCAGGCACTGCGCCTCAGGGAGAGCTAAACGGCATGTCTGTGAGGACATGGGAGGTGTGCTGGCGGCTCCTCACTTCTTCCTGGATATACTGAAGCAGGAAAGGTGAGGCTCTAAGGTTGTCCACTGGAAAGCTGAAAAAGCCTTGTATTTCCTTTTGGTGAAGATCCATAGTGATTATGTGAGTTAAACCTGAAATTTTAAAACAAAAAATTACAAAGTTCTCCCCTACAAGTTAATGGCCGCAGTGGACATAAAACTAGATGTCCCTGCTTCCTCCCAGAAGACTGAAGGCAGGGGTTCTGTGAACTAGGGACACAAACTGTTAGTCTTAATAGAGCAGTACAGGGTGTCCAGCCTAACACCAAGGAGCCCGGGACGAAGAACTACACTTGAAAGGGGTGTGCTCTCTGCATTACCATCACCGGGTGGTCAAAAGAGAAAAGTCAGACAGGAATCAAAGCATGGACATGCAGTAAATATGGGACAGCAGTAGGAATAAAACAGGCCCTCATCAAAGACTAGGGGCAAAAAAAAAAAAACTCGCCAGAGGCTACGGCTACCTCAAAAAGGAACAGAAGCAGACTAACCTAAGACTCACAAGGACAAGTCTGAGACCCTGAAGTGTCCTGTGGCTCCTACAGAATGGTGTGAGGGCATTTTCAGGAAGGGACGTGGTGGCCAGGTCACTGGTCCCCCAGACCTAAGAACCAGTGAGACAGGGAACCCTCGGCCACTGTCCAATGCTGTCCCACAGGAAGCACGCACTGCTCCCTACGTGGGGAAGGAGTGTGAATTGCTACACAGAGAGGCAGTGAGAGATGGGGAGGGCAGAGAAAACCACCAACTAATGCACCCAGTTCAGGCAAACAGTTGGCCTGAAGCTTGAGATCACAAGACAAGCCTGCCAGCTAAAATACAGACGATGGCAAACTAACAACAAAAACTGATCAGAGAAAATGCTAAAGCATTCCTCTCTAGACACAGAGGGGAGCACAAGAATGTAGCCACTCAGCTCATGTAACCCTTGCACACTATGTGGAAGGAAACAAGATGTCAGTCATTAGTGAATGAGTAGAGAAACAGGTCCCAAACCAGGCAGGAGGTGGGACCTGATCACATCTAGTGCCCCTGCTCACACTCACCAGCCTTTGCCAGCATGGATGCCAGGAGTTTGCACACGATGGAGCCTCTCTTCCTCATCTTGCTTTGCTTGCTGTAGGGGAAGTAGGGGATGACACCGATGATATTCCGGGCGCAGGCGGTCTTCAGCGCATAGGCCATAATCAGTAACTCCATCACGGCCGTATTCACATCTCTACAACAGTAAAAACCGTCTTAGAGCAAAACCTCCTATTAATGGCTTCATCCACTGGGTGTGACAGGCATTTCACACCACACTGGTTTGTGACAGCTCCTCGGGAGCACAGGCAAGAGCAGTAAGGACGCTCTAGCTGAGTCAGGCAGTTTTCAGCTGTGGCCACCCAAACCTACACCAGTGACCCCCCTCATCTTTGCCTGTCTCTTCTGTGCCAGCAACCATAGTCACTGGACACCTGCTGGCACTCAGTCAGGGGTTCAGACGAAGGCCACAGCTGTCATTAGCAGAAAGCATTTTGTCTTTCTCATGGGGAAAGTGGAAGGGACTGGGGAAGTCGTGGAACTTTTCACAACCCGCCTTGTCCTTTCTTTGCCTGAAGCATTTCTGAGAAAGGCTGTCCCTGTGGGAACCGATGTTGCTCGGCAGAGGTGATGGACCCTTCTGGAAGATCTCAGCTCTGGCCCCATGTCTTTGACAGATGCCACACTCACTCTCAAACACCGTCTCCTCTGCGGCCAGCAGGCTGCCTGGGTGCATGTCTAGAGCAGACAGGGAGCAGACAGGCCGCCCATGGGAAGAGAGGTGAACCTCAGCACCACCCAGCAGAACCACGAGGCCGTCTGCAGGTCAGCCAGGCTATCCCCATCTCTCCCCATCTCCCCGATACAGGGTCTGTCTGCCGTCTACACTGCCAGGCAGACCTGGAAGCCACTGTGCTCACCAGGCTGGCGGCTCTCTTGACAGACTATCTAGGATCCAGCAGCTGCAAGGATAGCCTCTCACCAACAGTTTTATTCTGTAACATTATTAAACTCACCAAACTCCCAAATAAGATAATCACAAAATTCAGGAGACTAATGAGGACAAAATTTGAATACAACTTTGATTCTGAGCCAGGCATGAAGTGCACATTTTAACTCCAGCACTGGAAGGGGGAAGAGGGGCAGTGGACCTTTGTGAGTTCAACAGAGTTCTAGAACAAGCACATGCTGAAACCCTGGAAATAAATAAAAAAGGGACAAACCAACCAACCAAACATTTCTGCAGAAAGGGACACAGAAATAAAGAGGCAAAGATGGTGGTAGAGTTTCGTTTTTCTTAAATCAGATTTCTGGTTAGCCCTAGCTGCTCTGTAGACCAGGCTAGCCTTGAACTCAAGAGATCCACCTGTCTCTCCCTCCTGAGTGCCGGACTAAAGGCACGAGCCACCATCGCCCAGCAAGAAAAAAAGAAAAACTCCCAATACCGAGAAATTCCTATTTCTTTTTCTACAGGCTGGGACTTACATTTCCTATACAATGATTTTACTTTCCACTTTTCTTTTTCCCAGTAACAACATGTTACAAAAAATTAAATGCCCAAGGTCAAGCATGGTGATGTAATGCTATTAATCCCAGCTCTCAGGCAGAGGCAGGTAGAGTTCTGTGAGTTGGAGGGGAGCCTAGTCTAGTAAACATAGCAAGTTCCAGACAGCCAAGACTACGGAGACCCTCATCACTCTACATGTGGAGTGGAGTGGGGGGGGGGATGGGATTGGAGGGTGGGAAGCATGGGAGGGAGGGACAGAGAGGGAACTGGGATCTATATGAAGAAAAATAAAAAATAAATTAAAACACAAAAACAACAAAAACTACGGAAACCCTGTCTCAAAATAAACAAACAAAAAGTAACATCCTCCAGTCTTCAACCTGTATTGATCAGGAAAGTTACAATGGAGCCTTTGTCATGTGGCTTTATCCAGCGCTGAAACACAGGCAGGTTAAACAAAGGCAGTTTGTGGCTAACAGGGTTTGGAGGACTTGGCAGGCAGTCTCTGCTTTGTTGTTTGAATAAGAATGTTCCAAGTTCCTCCCGTTGGCTCCTGCAGTCATTATCTATAAGTAGGACACACTTAACTATTTCACCAACAGTTTTTCCTTCTTTAGAGTAACTATAGTCTGCATTAGACTCAGCTCTTACTACTCTATCATTTTCAATAAACAAAAATTAATTTGGGGCAGGGAAATGAACACAATACACTTAGTAAACTGCTTGGACCTGAACAACACTAGATATAGTCATGGAGTAGGGTTCACCCCAGCCCACTCCAACGAGACTGTCCTGTGTGGACTCTACTACATTGTGTGTGTGTGTGTGTGAGTGTGTGTGTGACACACATGTTATAACACAACACACATGTAGAGGTCCACTATGCAGGTCCCACAGACGGTGTCAGGCTTGGTGGGAGGTTCCTTTACTCACTGACCCATCTTGCCCCCTACATGTTATTTTATTTTTGTTTGAGACACTGTCTGTGTAGCCCTGGCTGTCCCAGAACTTGTTCTGTAGACCAGGGTGGCCTCAAACTCAGAGATCTACCTGCCTCTGCCTCTGCCTCCTGAGTTCTGGGATTAAAGGTGTGTGACACCCCGCCTGGTCCACATGGTATTTTTTTAAGATTATTTTATTATTTATTTATGTGTATGAGTGTTTTGCTTGCATGTATGTATGTACACCACCTGTTGTGTGTGTGTGCCTGGTAACCGTGGAGGTCAGAAAGTGTCAGATCCCTTAGAACTGGAGTTACGGATGGTTGTCAACCACCATGTGGGTGCTGGGAACCAAACCCCAGCCCTCTGCAAGAGCAACCAATGCTCTCCCTGCTAAGCCATCTGCAGCCCCGCATTAGCAGCCAGGGCAGACTCACTGTCTGCGCCACTCACTCTAAGTACTGGGATCACAATGCCCAGGCCTCTGTTTGCAGGACACAATGACAGCACCCTACCCGCACCAGCCCCAGGATGTTTGCTGCTGCTTTCGCATCTAACATTTTAAGTCACAGGAAATGGGTAAGGCGGTGAAGTGCAGACCTGAATTCAATCTCTGGGACTTACATGACAGAAAGAGACTCCCAAAAGTTGTTCTCTAACATGCTGTGGTCATGTGTGCACACAAATTTAAAAATGCAATTTTAAAACACATGGGGAGCTGGGAGAAACAGGAAATGCCTGGAGAGGTTGGGTTTCGCCTTGACAATGCCTAACAAACACAGGAAAAAGAACTGTGACTTTTAAGTTACCAAACAAACTCAGTGAAGGGAAGCGTGTCCTCAAGGCACACACATCTGTCCCCATGCTCCTTTTGCAAGGACAGTCTGGGCTACAGAGACCCCGGGTTTACAGACGTCTCCTGGCTGTTCCACCAGAGTGAGCCTCCCTGTGGACTACTAACTGCTGCTGCCTTCTATCGCTGCCCTGGGGTCACTCTGCCCTGCTGGATTAAATATTTGTTCTGAGCACTCGGCTTCCATGCGATACTAGAACACAAATTGGGTAAGAGTAAACCTCGACCTCAAAAGACATCAGCGGCGCTCTCTACGCTAAGAACAGCATCTGACTGGCAGCACCCAGGGAAGGACAGAGCAGACATGCAGGTCTGTGCTGGAGGCCTTCTGTACAAGGCACAAAGTGGTGAGCCTTTGTTCTTTTGGCCACGGACAGTGTACTGCGACTTCATACCGACAATGACACATGACAAGCTGGCCTGCAGTGAGAACTTCAGGGGCTTCCAGAAGACCCAGATTCAGCTCCCAACACCCACACAGCAGCTCAGAACGGTTCTAACTGCAGTTCCAGGGGCTCTAATATGCACTTCTGACCTCAGTGGGTGCCAGGCACACATGGGGCACACAGAAAACACCATACACACTGGTCCCTGGCTTCCTGACAAAATTGCAGCGTGACCCTTCTGCCTTAAGCTCCCAACAAGAAAAGAACAAGAAAGGACAAGTTTCAGGCTAGCCTGGGGCTACAGATTGACAGTCTCCAAAACGACGGACCTTGTTTTGCTGGACCTGGTGGCACACACCTCTATCCTAGGACTCAAGAGGCTACAGGTAGAAACTCAAGGTGGAAGCTAGCCTGTGCTGCATATCAACACAAGAACCTATGTCAGAAAACAGAAGACTGTCTTGTCACTTCACTCCTACCATGAAGAAAAGCACTGGTAACCAGACAGTGATGGCGCACCTTTAGGCCCACACTGGGGAGGAGGCGGGCGGATCTCAGCCAGTTCGAAGCCAGCCTGGTCTACAGAGCAAGTTCCAGGACAGCCAGAAATGCGTTGGGAGAGCATTTAATCCCAGCACTTGGGAAGCAGAGGCAGGGTAGCCAAGATTGTGATGCAGAGAAACCCTGTCTTGAGAAACCAACACCACCCCCCACCCCCCCACCCCCGCAAAAAAAAAAAAAGAAATGTATTGGAATAGCCTAGTAGGTCACCTGCCTAACATGCAAGTCTTGAATTTGATCCATCCAAGCACATTATGAAAACAACACTTAACCACTTTCCTATTCTAACAGCCACACTGAAATGATCTACAACCATCAAGCAGGTTGCTCACAAACTCCTCACTCAGCCATTATGCTAACCATGATATGTGCCTAAGCACCAGGGTCTCCACTGGGAGGTCACAACCTTAGCTCCGCCCCCAAGCCTCTGAGACTCCCAAGACATAACTAACAGAGGTACCCAGAAGGGCCGCTCATGGTTGGCACACTACTCAGCAGAGTGGCTTTTCCTGGAGAAAGAAAAAAGAAGTCAAAGCTCAAATTCCAGCTGCTGCCTCCCAATGCTTAGTGCTGCCAAGATGCCTAAACGAGTCTTCTAAGCCATCTCGCCATTACAGAGCCAGTCAGGGCAGCTGCCACCTCTGTATTTGAAAGAGGATTAAGTGGAAAAGCTGGTCTACCTGGGGCTGCCAAGCTAAGGCTGTCTTTTCCACCCTCAGACAAGGGCTCCATACTCTACAGTGACAGCCAAGAGCCTAGCATTTCATGAAAGTTGTTTTCGTCTCCTTCCCGCCTGAGGAACTCTAGCATTCAGAAAGAGAGGACAACAATGACAATACTGCTCATTGCCAAACAAAGCATGAACCGAGGAGGCCCCAGGGCAGCCTTATGGACCATCAGCGTTTCCTTAGTGCGTGCTCTTAAAGCCAGGAGGAGACAGAGGCCTGAGTGAACATTCCAGGCAGAGAAAACGTGAGAAAAGCTCAGTGTCAATTGGCTCAGGAAAGTCAGCTGTCTGGTGTATGATGGAGACAGACAGGGTTAAGAGCAGCAGACAATATCAGGTACACAGGGAATGCACACAGTACATTTCCTAATGTATAACAGTCAGGAAGCAAAACAAGGTACTGTGGCTCAGCTAAGATGGCCCTGTGCCTACCACATCTAGACATGGCCAGTAAGACTGCATGTGTCTCCCATGCTTTCTGGATTGAAGGTACTTCATCCAAAGCTGCAGAGGAGGAGAAGCAGAGGACCACACATCCGTTTCCCCAAGGACTGTCTTGGCAAGGCCCCCTCGATTTTCCTATATTTTAGACAGTGTTGGGGATTGAACCCAGGACCTTGCACATTCCGGGTAAGTCTCCACCACTGAGCTACTTCCTTCGTTCCTGCTTTCTTACTTCTGAAGGGCATGGCAAAACCATTGAGGCCACTGAGATGGCTCAGTGAGTAGACGCTTGTTGCTAACACCGATGACCCGTTAGATCCATCCCTGGGACTCATGGTAGAATGAGAACTAATTCCTACACATTGTTCTCTGCTCTCATCACACAGCACACGAAATCCCCACCCCACTAAATAACCATTTAAAAAAAAATTGGTGCCCCCCAAGACAAGATCTCACTATGTAGCCTTGGCTGGTATGGAACTTGCTATGTAGTGCCTATCTCTGCCTTCAGAGCGCTAGGATTAAAGGTGTGTGCATCATGCTTGGCAATTTCTTAACTTTGTGAGGCAGTTCTCACTAAGTTGTAGCCTGGCCTTAAGCTAGTACTGCAGTCTAGGCAAGCCTTGAACTTGTCCCTCTGCCTCAGTCTCAAGCCAAGCATGAATTTATCATTTCAAGCAACAGTAACAAAAATCAACCCTGGATTGTTGTTCACATGGAAAGGAAGTTTCTCAGAGGAAAACGGACTCATGGGGTGGTGTCAAGTCTTACCTGGGTATTGTCTGAATAATGAAAATGTCTTGGCCACGAACAGACTCTTTGATTTCAACTCTTGTTTCTGAAGGAAAAAGAAGTGTTCAAGTTTAAAGAATTCATGGTGCAGTAACAGACAATAGCTGGAGTAAGAGGATTCTATCTGCCATAACTAACTAACTAAATAAAGTCCTAACTAAGTAAAATACTCACACAGAGTGGCCAGGCTGACGGTAAAAGATGATAAAACCAACAAATGTCAAATAGCCCAAAAAATTCTAAAAGTGGCAACTTAACATCTGTTGGACAGCTGCAGAGGCACCCTGAGACAGGCCGGGTGCTGGGTCCCAGAGAGGACCTGAAGCAACGTGGTAACGACATCTCAGTGTGACCCAGACCGCCACAGGCTAGTCACGGGGACTGGGGGAATGGGGGATGGGGACGGGGGGGGGGGGGGGGGGAACAGCGGCCTCAGGGAAGCGGCCGGCACAGCAAGGGAGGGAACATGGAAGACAAGGAGCAGGCGGCCACTCGGGAAGCAGAGAGGCTGCGGGGAAAGAGCTGTAGCCAAGAAGCCAAAGAGAGCTTCTCCTTAAATGGGACAGGAGTTGGAGGCAGGTGGAGCTCTGTGAGCTCAGGCCAGCCTGGTCCACAAAGTGGGTTCTAGGACAGCCAGAGCTCTGTTACACAGAGAAACCCTGTCTGAAAAATAACAAAACAAAAAGAATCCCTGCTGAAGCTTTTTTGGGGCTGGAGAGACAGCTCAGCAGTTAAATGCACTGACCCAGGTTCGATTCCCACATGGCAGCTCACAGCTGTCTGTAATTTTTACAGTTCTGGGGGATCCAACACCCTCACACAGACATGAACGTAGACGACACACCACTACATGTGACAGGAAAGCAAAGCCGGGGGTGGGGTCACTGGCTACTATGAGAAGACAGTGATGGCGGTGAGTGACTGGCAACGAGGAGACACTGGAAAGGAAAAGCACACTGACTCAGGTTGTTTGCAAAATCAGAGTGCTCAGGACGTGATAGATGACTGGAGACCAGGGGCTGAGTGGGCAGAGCAGACCCCAAAGGGCCCCAGTCTGAGAGCTGAGCATATTAACCTAAAATCTGAAACCGAAATTCTTCCCAAGCCTGAAACCTCGGGTGCTGATGGCACTCCACATTTCAGATGATGGAGCATTTCAAGTTTGAAATGCATAACTAGAAGTCTATGCCAATGTTCTAGATCTGGGACACTTGTAGTCTCCTTTTCAGGTGGAGGACACTCAGCCTCAGGTGAAGAACACTGGCATCTACGCGGGCTTGGAAGTAGCTCAGAAGTGAAATTTCCCTGGATTCAATCCCTACAACTAGTCCCTCACCACGCCCCCAAAGATTTAGGAGTATTTTCACAGGCATAAGTGAACAGAATGGGCTAGACAGAAGGCTGTGGCCACTTGGACACTTCTGATGCCGAGAATGAGACCAGCAGCAGGGAGGAGTGAGGAGAGCCTCCCCGTCCCCGTTTTCCCCTCCAGCTCCCAACCCCAGCACCCACGCCAGACACTCATGATGCCCTTGCTGGTCGCTTTGGTACCTCTGCAGGCACACACACGATCTTACTCCTACAAGAAGAAAGCAGCTAGGGTTGAGAGCTCGCCGAAGGACACATGATGCTAATTAAAACATGTGACTTTCACATATTCTGTTAGTGTGCATTCCTCCAACGATCCATCCAACTGTCCACTGTCCTGACTGGATCCCCAGACATGATGACAGTAGGCTCCGTTTTGGTTTGTGAGGCAGAGCCTTACTTGGTAGTCCAGAATGGGCTCAAACTCATGGCAATTCTCTTGCTCAGCCTTCTGAGTGCTGAGATTATAGGCATATATGATAACACCTAGCTCTTCAATGTATTTTTCTGCAACAGATAAGAGCAGGATGAGGCGGTGGCGCACACCTTTAATCCCAGCACTCAGGAAGCAGAGGCTGGTGGACCTCTTGTGAGTTCAAGGCCAGCCTGGTCTACAGAGCTAGTTCCACGACAGGCTCCAAAGCTACTTAGAGAAACCCTGTCTCAGACCCCCCTACACACACACAAAGGGCGGGCCAGATGCCCTGAAGTATGCAGCTCTCCTAGATTACTACAGTATTAGTAGGACAGTCAGGTGCCTTCAAGCGTCCATGTTATAATTAGTTTTCCACACAACCCACAGGGAAGCAAAACTGGGCCACTAACCCAGTGTGACAATCTATACATTGTGATTAAAGAAAAAAAAGGAGAGAGCAGGACAGAATTTGAAAGGGATGTGTGTGTGTGTGTGAATGTCACCACTGTTACGATAATGCACGTGGGGGGGGGGACTCTTGACAAATTCCATGGCAGGTGAGGGTGACCCAAGGAGGAGGACAAACACGCCAGGCAGATAGAGCTTAAGTGACAAGTTTTATTAGAAAAGGAAAGGGGGGAGGGGGAGAAAAGAGACAGAGAGGACAGAAGAGGGAGACAGGCAAAGTCGGGGGGGGGGGGGGGGAGAGTGTCTTTCTTTTAAAGGGTCCTTTGCACCGCCTGCAGACTAGCAGTCACGGACGCTGGGCTGACCACAGTACCGCCTGAGTGCATTCTGCCAGGTGACGGGGCAGGCCAGCGTGATGCCTGGGTCCTTACCATCATCAGGTGTCTCTCAATGACTTTCACCTATGCTCCGAGACAGGCTCTTTCACTAAACTCAGCTGACTGACACTCCTAGGCTGGTTGTGTGAGCTCCAGCCATCACCGGTTTCTGACCCTCCAGCTGAGGTGACGGATGTACAGCAACCACTGTTACTGTCTCCATCTCCTTAGCTCCACCCCCACCTAAGAGGGCTTCCAGTCTCCTTAGCTCTGCCCCCACCTAAGAGGGCTTCCAGTCTTTCTTCCTAGCGCCAGACCGTGCATGCAATAATTTGATGTCCTAATACGTATAAGACACATTTACTGCGTAGAAGACAAAACAAACACTCTATATGTTCCAGGGCAGGTCCCAAAGCCACAGAGAAACCCTGTCTCAAAAAGGCAAGGACTAAGGATGCTGACCTCCAAGGTTTGAAAGGAAATATTCTGTGTTAAATTCATAACAGGGCACCAGTGAGTAAAAGCACTGGCTATGCGAACCTCATGACCTGAGCTCAGTATGTAGCACACACCAACACTCAGAGTGCACTCAGGATTTCGGTGGCTGGTATCTGTAACCCCAGCACTCCTATGGTACATGCCAATAAGCAGAAACAGGCAAGAACTGGGCCCCAAAGCTTGTCCTGACCTCCCCATGTGCACCACGCACAAGCACACCACCACTCAAGAAGCAAACACAAGCTAGGGCACTGTCCACTTGTAAAAGCACTACTGGTAAGAGTAAGCCACCTTCTGAGGTGTGATGCTACCACATGGCTAAGGCTGGAGGACCCCAAGTTCGATGCTTGGGTGATGAATTCTGTGTGGCCAAGGAAACAAAGCAAAAGCATGTTTAAAAAAAAAAAAAAAAAAAAGCCATGGGCATGAAGGTGCATGTTGTGGAATATTAGTTGGAGATGTGTTACGTTTGTTTATACTGTGGAACATGTTTTAATGACGCAGAGATGTCTTGCAATCTTTTATGCTGTGCTGTGTAACTCTGTAAAGCTGTGTTACTCGCCTGTCTAAAACACCTGATTGGTTTAATAAAGAGCTGAACCGCCAATAGTGAGGCAGGAGAAATAGGCAGAGAGAATAAATGGAAGGGGGGGGGGTAGGAAGAAAAGGAGAACAGGGACCCAGCCACATAGCCAGTAAGAATGGAAGAAAAGTAAACAGAACGGAGAACAGTAACAGCCCAGTGGCAAAAGATGGGTGGGGTAATTAAAGTTAAGAAGAGCTGGCTAGAAACAAGCCACGCTAAGGTCAGGCATTCATAAGAGTAAGTCTTCGTGTATTTATTTGGGAGCTGGGTGGCAAACCCCCAAACACCAAAGAGTAAAAATAAAAACCAACAACAGGTACATGCCCACAATCCCATGGAAGGCTAAAGCAGAAGGATAAGGAATTCAAAATCAAAACATCCTCAGGTACTTAGCAGGTTCCAAACCAACAACAAGGGTTGATCTGATGGGAGATGTCATTCTGTAAATATGTTTCTCATACTGGTTAATGAATAAAGCACTGTTGGCCAATAGGAAAGCAAGATGGGCGGGACTAGGAGACTAGGAGGATTCGAGGTAGTAACGAGGAGTCAACATGGAGACTGGGGAGACGAGACGCATGCCCCTCTCCCCGGTGAGATGAAACCATGTGGAAATCCTTAGATTAACAGAAATGGGTTAATACTTAAGACAGAGCAGCCGATAAGAAACTAGTAACTCGCCAACAGCATTATATCAAATCCAGCATCTCTGTGCATTATTTGGGGCTGGCGCGGCGGCGGGACAAGACCAGCGGCGGGCACAGAGTGTTAGGGTTAAGATACCGGCCACATCATGGTAGAAAGAGGGAGCCAACACCCATTTGCTGTTACTGGAGACGCGGAAGCAGGGTACCATGAGTGTGAGGCCTGGATGGGTTACAGTGAATGCCTGTCTAAAAGACTTTAAGTGGGAAAAGGATACCAGGCCAGAGTGGTGGCGCATGCTTGTAACCCAGCACAAAAAGCAGGGAGACCAAGCCAGGTAGGCTACGGAAAATGCTGCCTCAAAATGACAACAACCCCCCCCAAAAAGACTTTAAACTTACCTCCATTGGTCTCCTGGTACACAACAGATTTCCCCAATTCAGCACCAAGACGCCTATTACACAAGAAGAAGGGGGGCAGAGGGTTAATTAATCCAGCATTCTGGGAGCTGAGGCAGGGTTGCTGTAAGGTAAAGGCCAGCCAGGACTATACAAGACCCAACCTCGCTCTTAAAGAAAAAAAAAAAAAGTAGCAGAGTCAGACAACTACAGCACAAACTCAACAGATGAAGTAGACACTGCATTTATAGGTATGCATTGTTACTGGCATGCCATAGCTTTCTGAAAAATTAGCATAACAAAAGGCAAACCCACTACTTTCTAAAGTGCCCTCCCTTGGGCTTCTCACAGTCATGGGTGATAAATCTGATCCAATGCAAACAAACTCAAGCTTCAAGTCTGAAGTACTGTAGTTGGCCTACACAAGAAAGACAGTAATCAGGGTTCAGAAACAGGAAGCAAGCAGCGGAATGAAGAGCAGCTCTCCTAGACTCTCCTGAACCCGCTAAAGTCCAAATGATAATAAAACAGGCGGAGCTAAGCCATTTTGAAGCATGAAAATGACTTTAAATGTTCAAAGTCAAGTCTAATTTAAACCTGGAGCCCAGATACAAAGAGGTTAGCCTGGGCCACAGAGATCTTATCTCAGAAAACAAAAGCCAGGGATGGCCGTGGTGGCGCCGGCCTCTAATCCCAGTATTCCCGGGGCAGAGGCAGGCGGATCTCTAAGTTCAAGGCCAGCTGGGGGCTCCAGAGAAAGCAAGTCTCCTAAATTGAGAACAAAGGCCAAAGAACAAGTTAAACAACATGCACATAGGCATTAAAGGGGGGAGGTCAAATGACGCACTCTGTCACATATTTCTAAAACGTTTACCTTATAAAGGGCCACTAAGGCTCTGTATACCAGGGCTCTAGTGTTCTTCGAAAGAGAAGGACCTTTCTCGGCAGACAGGCGGGCCCTGCTCTGCAAGATTCGCCTCCATTGCTTCCCACCAAGCTCAGACTCACACTCCATCCCTGTCCCATAGAATCTCTCATTTTACACGTTAAGGTTAAACAAAACAAAACAACACAAACCAACCACGTCCTTCACCCAGGGTCAGCGAGGTGACAACAGGCAAGCCTGGGAAACACCTCAGGGCCCCAAAGGTTCCGTGAGGTCAGAGGCTAGGCATACACATGCATACACCCCCAAGCAAAGACTTTGTACAACTGATCACTTGCACTGAGCTCTCCCCGCTCAGCCCACGGTTCCCTTCTCCCTACGCCTTCGGTCCGAGGCTAGACCCCGATCAGCCTGTCTCCTTAGGGTGGGCTGCCAAGGGCGATGTCACACACAGAGCCACAGGGAACCTCTCAAGGGTTGAGAATGCTCCGCCGCCCCGGGGAGCATTTACTTCCCCAGGGGCCGGCCCGGAGGCCGCTCCCGGGTGCGGAAGCGGCGGCGGGGAGCAGGGGCCGGGCCAACCCGGGGACGAGCGCGCTTACTCGGTGATGCGCTTGGCCAGCTCCGTGCAGGCGGCCGTAGAGTTGGCCGAGAAGACTCGGTAGCCGGTGCGGGCGGCGTTCATGGCCGGCGGGGCGGCGGGGCGAGCCCGCGGGACGCGGAGAGCGGAGCACGCGGACAGCGGGGGCAGCAGCAGCAGCTTCCTGGGCATCCTCCGGCCCGAGGCGCGGGGACGGCGCTGCGCGGGGCCGGACGCGGGCGCAGCTGTGACGACGACAGCGCGCGGGGAACCGGGCGGGACCCCTGAGCGCAGGCCGCGCCCCTCAGCGGGACCGAGGCGGCGGCTAGAGCGCCCCCACCGCCGCCATCTCGGCAAAGGGCAGGGAGGTCGGCATCCGTTCGGGAGCCGTTTCTGACAGATGCGCCACTGATTCGCGTGGCCGCTTGATTTTGAGACCCTCAGGACAGGTGTTTTAAGTGCACGACTTTGGGCGCTGCAGCCAAACTTAGCAGTGGTCCCCAGACGTTTTCAGAACTTCCGCCAGGAACCAAGATGTCCTCCGCGGGGGGGGCCGGAGACAGTCTAGCCTCGCGCCTCTATGGTAAATGAGCGCTCTGCGCCACCGCCGCGCCCCCACCCAGCCCCCGCGCGCACGCGCTTGCGCAAGCTGAGATTTATTTGCAAAGTGGCGGGCGGAGTCGTTGTGCGCTTGCTGCGGGCAGAGAGGCTGCTGTGCAGCAGGGTCTTGTCGTAGAGGCGTTCCCCAGACCCTGTCCTGGTGTCTGCACGTGAGGCACGGTTGCATTCCCGCCAGATTTTGTCCTCGGTTCTCAATCGCAGCCGCCTCGGCCTCAGCAAGCAGGAGTGAGTCTGCCGTGTGCAGTGTGCACTTATTTACCCTTGTGTAAGGAGACCCGACAGAAATGAGGCCATTCTAGAGACTTTTGTGTCTCTGGATCTGACTACCAGACTTCGAAAAACGGACCCCAAAGTAACGGGGATTTTTCCCGGGGATGACATGCCGGGAGAAGGGAAAGGCACCAGCAAGAGCAGGGACTTGTCGTCTCCCATGAGGATTTCACACAGCTCCCACGACTTGTCAGTGGTGGGCGGAACCGCTTAGGGGCAAATCCTTGGCCTTCCGGGAAGACAGACTTGTGGGGTCACTGGATCCCTTTGTCCCTTTTCCCGGTTTGGCCACATCGAGTCTGTGATTTGTGCTTTCCGCTTTCAATTTGCTTTTTTTTTTTTTTTTTTTTTTAATGCACATGGGTGTTGTGCCTACATGTATGTCTATGTAGCATGTGTATGCAGTGCCTGGAGAGGACAGAAGAGATGTGAGATTCCCCTGGGATCGGGACTCCAGTATGGAAGCTGCTGGTTGCTGGGAACCGAACTTGGGTCCTCTGTCCTTGACGTGACAGTTTTAATTGGCGCATTGGGGAAGGTGGCCAGACCATAAGCTCTGGCCTTACCCCAGTACCTGTTTCCTACTAAGGCATGCTACCAGCCCTTTCCTCCCTTCCCACTCTTTAAGTGATTCATGGCATGCACCCCTCTCTGCCCTCCTAGGGCCAGACATCAGGTACGATAACACAGGGTAAACACAGTGTCCGATAAATATCTTTTTCTAATTACATGTGTTGGTGTTTTGCCTGTGTGTGTGTGTGTCTGTGTGAGGGCATCAGATCTCCTGGAACTGGGGTTGCAGACAGTTGTGAGCTACCATGTGGGTGCTGGGAATTGAACCTGGGCCCATTTTAAGCTGTGCTGGGGATGGAATCCAGGGCTTTGGGCACCGCAGGCAGACACTCTGCCAACTGAGCTAAGATCCCTACCTCCCTTCCCCACCTACTCTCACCTCATGGTAATAAAGTAATTTGGAAGCCTGAGTCTTATCAGAGAAGGCAAAGGATGACTGGCAGGCAGTAGAAAGGCCCATAATGCAAGGAGGAACTTCAGAGCATGGGCGGGACTTTTTTTCTCCTCCTAAGGAACAGTGAACTAGGCTCTAATTTATAGTTACCCAGGGATCAGAAGAGCATACTACCTCACCATCCCCAGGTCCTGATTAGAAAGTGCTCCCTTGCACAGGAAGAAAGGGGAGGGAGTTACCCAAGTGCCCTCCTTGACAACTTACCAAAGTTCCCTGGAGTCAGGCTAACTACAAAGAAGTGTCATGTCTACCATAGTCACTCAATTCTGGGGGGCGGTTGGTCACCCCATAATGCTGCCCAGCATCAAGACAGGCCCTGCAACAGCCCCCAGGTGTCTAGGGCTGGCTGGCTGGTGGTCATTGTCACAGACTGAAGACCTCTGTCCCCAAGTTCAGAAGCCTGGGCCCCAGGAGTGACTAGGCTTACTGGCAGTAAGTGGGGGTAAATGGGGTTGGGAGGGTGGAGCCCTAACACAGAAGCTTCGCGTCGTCGAAGAGGGGAAGACACCAGAGCGTTCCCTGTCCTCGGTATGTGAGGACATAGTGTGTGGGCAGCTGCCTGCCACTGAGAGAGACCCCCGTCACCAGAACCAACCATGCTAGTTCCCCATGGGATTGCCAGCTTCAAGGTCCATGTAAGATGGCCAGGCATGGTAGCACACAACGAATCCCAGCATTCAGAAGGCAGAGAGGCAGGCTACCCTGGACTACATAGTGACATCTAGCCCCCCCTCAAAAAAAACACTAAGTAAAAAATTGGAGGTTAGAAGACAACTCATAGTAGTCATTCCTTTCTTCACCACACGAGCTCCAGGGGTTGCTCAGGGTTCTGGGCTTGGCAGAAAGTGCTTTTACCAGCTGTACCATCTTTTTGGCCCTAAAGCCAGTGATAGTTGTGCTATGCAGTTCCCCAGGACACACACACACACACACACACACACACACACACACACGCATGCACGCACGCGCGTGCGCACATACACACAGTCTCATTACAATGTCTTTTGTACAATGTAACTGAACAGTCTGTGTCTTAGTTTGAAGATAGGGATTAGGGCCCAAGCATCCACTCCCTTCAACCGTTGAAGAACTCAGATGAAGCACTGAATACCCAAGAGAACTGGGTGGCTGGATAAATAAATAATGTTCCTTCAGACCCCGGGACACTTGGCAGCCATCAAAATTTCCTTTTTAAAGGATCATGGGAGAGTGAAGACAGAGTGTAATATAATGCTGGATAAACTAAGGGCAAAGCGACCTTATTTAGAAAGGAGCTGAGTTTCATTTTTCTGCAAGTCTACTTAAGACAGAGAGGGCACACAGGGACATGTCCTGAGGACCTAAAGGTCCCTTAGGAGGTTTTTATTGTTAAATCAAGGCTTAATTCACCAAGACAAGCCGGAGTGTCCCTGAGTGCCCCAGCCCTGGGGAGAGGAGTCTATCCTGGCTGTGAGGATACACAGACTAATAGGTGGGTGGTGTAGCCAGTGTCTGGAACCTCTCAGAAAGATGCAGGACCAGAGGCGATGCCTGAGGCTGGGTTTCTCTGTGTAGTCTTGGCTGTTCTAGAACCACTCTGTAGACCAGGCTGGCCTTGAATTCAGAGATCCACCTGTCTCTGTCTCCCGAGTGCTGGGATTAAAGGTGTGCACAACCACCATCCAACCGCCCTTGGACTCTTTAAGTCGCAAATCCTGGTTGTGGGGACTTGATGTTCGATTTAATCTTACGTAAAATTTACAGGAGTCATTGTCTGGCCTGAGATACTGCATTAGACCTCCCTAGGCTGTAGCAAGTGTGCTAGGGCCTTGGAAGGGAAAGGAAGTCAGAGGTTAAGAGCACTGACTGCTCTTCCAGAGGTCCTGAGTTCAAATCCCAGCAACCACATGGTGGCTCACACCATCTATAATGAGATCTGGTGCCTCTTCTGACATGCAGAACACTGTATATATAACAAATAAATAACTCTTTTTTAAAAAAGCCAGATTAAAAATTAACACAGCAGGCCTGGCAGTGGTAGCATATACCTTTAGTCCCTCACTCGGGAGGCAGAGGCAGGAGGATCTCTGTGAGTTCAAGGCCAGCCTGGTCTAAAGAGCGAGTGCCAGGGCAGGCTCCAAAGCCACACAGAGAAACTGTCTCAAAAACAAACAATCAAACAAACCCCCCCACAGCAATGAACAGGAGGAGGTGATACTCAGTCCCCCTGCTTTAAACCTCTGACAAAAATGGCTTTGAACTGACTTGTTTTAAAGGCATGGTAGCACACACCTTTGATCCCAGCACTTGAGGGGCAGAGGCAGGCAGATCTTTGAGTGTGAGGCCAGCCTGGTCCACAGACTGAGTTCCAGAACAGCCAGGGCGACACAGAGAAACCCCGATGCGTGCTGTCTCCTTTGGGACTTTTCTGTCTACAAAGTCTAAGTCTTCTCTGCTCAGTCTTTGCTGTCTGTCTCTGTCTTGCTCTGGTTTTTGTTTTCTGGAGATGGTCTTGTTTCTATAACCCTGGCTGGCATTGAAGTCACAGTAATCCTCCTGCCTCAGACTCCTGAAATGCTAGGATTGCAGGCAGAGGATTCCACACCTGGCTCCTTTCCTCTGTGGCTCAGACTAGCTCTGAATTAGCTAAGTAGCCCAGGCTAGCCTCAGACTCCAAATTCTCCTATCATTGCCTCCTGAGCATTGGAACTAAAGGTAACAGCACACACAGTCTAGCATTTTCTACTTTGCAGATGGGATGCTCTCAAATTGTAAATCACTAATTATAGCAAATTAGATTTTGAACAAAACATATAGAGAAACTTTGTTCTTTGGCAATCTAAATTAAACAAACAGGGTAATGAATTAAGTCCTGCAATGAAGTGTTTGGGGGGAAATCATGCCTTTACGAGACTGTTTTTCTTTGTAGAGTGTGGGTGTGGGGTTATGGAACCCAGGCTCTTGAACATTCTAGACAAGTGCCCTACCCCCCACCTGCCCCTTCTCTGGTCCTCCTTCACTTCTAGTAATGTGAATAGTTTTGTTTGGAGCATACAAACCCTTCATTTACACAACACAGATGACTAGATTCAGCTGCATCAGCAGAGCTGAGTAATTGCAACAGAGGCTGTCTGATCCCATAATGTTCAAATATTTGCTATCTGATTTTTATTTTGGGTGTGTGCATGGGTGTCTTGCTGGCATGTCTCTGTACCATGTTTGTGCCTGGAGTCCTTGGGGGACAGAAGGGGACACTGGATCCTCTGAAACTAGAGTCAATCACAGCTGTTTTGAGCCGTCATGTGGGTGCTGGGAATTGAACCCAGGTCCTCTGCAAGTGCAGCTTGTGCTCTTAAAC